GGCAGCAGACCCCACGGTGGATGGGGTCATGGAGATGAGGAGCTCTGCTGATAATAAAAAAATGCGGCGAGGCTCGTTCCAACGCGGCTCGCACGTAGCCAAAGCCTCCGGAGGGATGCACAGCGAGCTGGGCAGCTGGTATAATGCTGCAACGTTCTAAATGTGCGCACTTTCTCTTGCTCTCGCGCGCTACGGCCATACATCGTGGAGCCGATGGAGGCTGTGGCAGACGCGGGCAGGGGAGAGCGCGTGAGGGGAGACCCCCTTGCGGGTTTATGCTTTTTTGACGGATGATGAGACGGTGGGTTGTTAGGAATGTAAATTTAAAACTAATATGTTTATAACAGCTTTTTGTGTTTAGCTTGTCCTTCCCCCGCATCTCCTATTCATACAGTTGGCTGAGTACAGTGCAAAAGAATTGGAGTTACCGAAAGAACCAAGAATATAGTGCAAAAGAAGTTAAACATACATACATACGAACACCGTTTACCATCGTCATCGCCCCATCATCATCATCATCACCAAGGTGATGGATGTCGTCATGAGCTCTCCGCTCTCCTCATCACCGCCGTCATCGTCACCACCGTCGGCCATCTACACCACACCATTGTTATCAATCACGATCTATCCACTACTGGATGAAATCCACCCCAAGCCATATCTCATGGTCCACTGAGGTAACAATCCGCCTAGCACCGGCACGTAAGCCGATTTCATCGTTCCATCTCCACGCTGGGCGCACTCCCAGTTGAGTTCCCTCCTTTGGCTGCCGCTCCATCGTTCGACTTAACCAACGGGCATCGCCACTGCTTCTCATCATGCATCCTGGCCAAGCCCATCAAATGTTTGTAACAGTCTCTGCTGCCTCGCGAGTGTGTTTCCCCAATCCACGTGTCCCCCTCTCAGTGCAACTGCGAGCATGCACCTCTCTCTGCACTTCTCTGCGCACTTTTCAGCCTTTTCTAGTCCACATTCTTTGCCCAATGTCCATGGATCGTTCGGATCCGAATGCCCTCGCGGGTGATATGCGTTGGCTATCTCACTGACAAGATGAGATTTATGCGACAGATTCTTGCCGCGGAGAAACAGGAGACACACTGATAATGGGGTTGTAGATAAGAGTAGCTCATTGGATTTAAAATATATTTGAGCTCATTTCAAATGAACTCCCACATAACGCCTAACAGGTATGCACAGGTAGCTGGGCAAGTCAGTACTACTTAATATTAAACACAACGCAAAATAATAAATAGCATGACTGTGCAGAATATGAGTTTCAAAATAAATAAACGGACAATTCGCCTCCTTCAAAGATCTGTCCCTCCACATAAAAAAGATAAAATAAAAGTTATTACAAATCCCATCAGCCGTGCGGCCTTTTGGGAATGCATCAATTCAGCAGCATTGATTCAACACAAGCAGACCCTGGACTGGTTTTGACATTCAGTGTCTCATCAGCAGAGCCAGACTCGATCGAACCAATGCTGGTGAACTGCCAGATGTTTGATATCGGCAATAGACCATCTCTGGTGGATATGGGGGTCGTAGCTTGACCAAAAACTCAATCACACTGAAAAACTAAATAATCATTAGCATCAACGTTAGAGAATTACCACACAAGTAAATGATCCTTATGGCGGTATCCCGGGGTACCAAATAATACAAAATGGCCGAGGCAATTACATATTTTATTTTTGGGACACCAGGGGCGTACTTAACTCCGTGACTTGGGTACCAATCAATCCGAAATCAGTGCTACTACGCGATGTCGAAACGCCAAACAGCATTAAAAAATCCGTTATCGAAAAATTCAACTTTGAATAGTGCATCGTGCAGAGCTCGTCGAGATGAGTCGATTGCCGCATCGCCGACCATCAACAGACTAAAAATTACTGCATCACGGACATTAGGCGAGAGCCGGGGTACTATGGCACCACGGGGTACCATGGTGCCCCGGGGGTACTCTGGTACTATGGAACCCCGGGGGTACTACGGTACCATGGTGCCCCGGGGGTACTCTGGTACTATGGAACCCCGGGGTACTATGGCACCACGGGGTACCATGGTGCCCCGGGGGTACTCTGGTACTATGGCGCCCCGGGGGTACTCTGGTACTATGGAACCCCGGGGTACTCTGGTACTATGGAACCCCGGGGTACTCTGGTACTATGGAACCCCGGGGGTACTCTGGTGCTATGGAACCCCGGGGTACTATGGAACCCCGGGGTACTCTGGTACTATGGAACCCCGGGGTACTCTGGTACTATGGAACCCCGGGGGTACTCTGGTGCTATGGAACCCCGGGGTACTATGGAACCCCGGGGTACTCTGGTACTATGGAACCCCGGGGGTACTATGGTGCTATGGAACCCCGGGGTACTCTGGTACTATGGAACCCCGGGGTACTCTGGTACTATGGAACCCCGGGGGTACTCTGGTACTATGGAACCCCGGGGTACTATGGAACTCCGGGGTACTATGGTACTATGGAACCCCGGGGTACTCTGGTACTATGGAACCCCGGGGGTACTATGGTACTATGGAACCCCGGGGGTACTATGGTACTTTGGAACCCCGGGGTACTCTGGTACTATGGAACCCCGGGGTACTATGGTACCATGGAACCCCGGGGTACTATGGTACTATGGAACCCCGGGGGTACTATGGTACTATTGAACCCCAGGGGTACTCTGGTACTATGGAACCCCGGGGGTACTATGGTACTATTGAACCCCAGGGGTACTCTGGTACTATGGAACCCCGGGGGTACTATGGTACTATGGAACCCCGGGGGTACTCTGGTACTATGGAACCCCGGGGGTACTATGGTACTATGGAACCCCGGGGTACTCTGGTACTATGGAACCCCCGGGTACTATGTGCAGGGTGACAAGGCAGACACTACACAGTTACTTCTGTAGAAGCACGCCCTGAGGTAAATCCTAAACAGCGTGATGTCCTGTTCACCCCCACTACCCCAAAGTGTACAGTTACTAATGTAGAGTCAGTAGATACTACTACAGAGTCAGTTACTAGGATAGTCAGTAGATGCTACTGTAGGGTCACCAGATACTACTGACTGTTGTATGTAGGGTCTGTAGGTATATATGCCGACAAAATAAAAATTGGGTGGGGAGGGGTAAAAACATATTTGGAGGGGTCGGCAATTTTTTGAAACCTTTTAGACCAACTATTCACCCCCCCCCCTACTTTCTACAACTTTTTGATTCAGACCTTCTATAAAGCTCTTATTATTGACAGACAAATTGACAAACAGAACGTTGGGCTTTTATGATAGCTTAGTATTTGTGTATGTACATATTGTGTGTTTTTTGAGAGAAGACAAGTTTAGAAATATATATTTTCCCCTGGGCAAAGCCGGGTACTTCCTGCTAGTTGAGAATAAATGTTGTGTATTTTACCTGATGCACAAATGGAAAATTAAAAACCCTCCAGTGTGTGACCTTGGTCATCCAGAACAAGACCGTACAACGTAAAACGACGCAGTGCCCCGATCCACAAATACGAAGGAGACATCGCAGCGATACACTCCGCTGATCCTGACACCGTTGTCTGGTTTCATCACCTGAATGTGACATTGTAGTTGTTGCTCTGCATCTACATCAGCAGCCATACGGAAGAAGAAGCTTGTATTATAGGTTTGTGTCGAACGAGGTCCCATATCTTACAGAGAGGGCCCTTACCTATGAACAAGCTGCAGTGCCAAACACAACGCAGGTAGGTCCGTGGGGAGTAGAGGTGGGGGAGCTCCTAGGGGGCAGCTCGTGCAGGTGTATTTTTAACGGATGATGATATAGCGTATTTTTAGCAAATGATGACACAGTAAAATGGTGACATCACCATTCATCATTGTAGCACTCTCGGTACCGGCTTATTGTGATTGTTTATCAGTGCCGGACTGGCAGGAATATATTGATTATGAGCTTAACACAAAGACACCTGTGTGCTTACAGCAAAGCAGAGCAACAACACTAACAAGAGTCAATAAATATAATTGCAAAATTGTGGGAAACCGATGTCGCGACGATCTGAACTTGCCAAACTTTGACATTGCATCGAATTGCGACTAGTCCGGTGACCAAGGGGAAGAGAAGACCTCGAAGGGCAGATGGTGAGAGACTCTTAGAGTGGTGCTATGGGTCGTCTCGGCGTGTCTCTGTATGAGACTACAGGGTTACGAGAGTCTCAGACCAGATGGGGGGAAACTGTGAGGGCAGCTCTGTGGGTCTTTGTGTGAGACTATGGGTCTCTGTGTGTATCTGTGTGACTATGTGTTCCGATATGATTCTGTAGGTCTCCATGTGAGGACCCTGGGTCTCTATGGGAGTCTCAGACCAGATGGGGGGGGGAGACTGTAAGGGCAGCTCTATGTTAGGGCAGTTCTATGCACAGCGATCATCGCCCCCCCCCCCCCCCTCCCCTACTGGCACACTCATGCCCCAGGTCGTTCCTTGCCTATCGTCAAGGAACCCGCACTGGCCAGCGTGAAGCATGGTCATCATCTGAGGCGGCCCACCCGGTGGTGAGGGGTGAGGCTACTTACTCCGCCCAATGTTGAGACGTCCGTTGGATGACACCATCGACCATTTGTATTTATTTATTTCACTACTGTTGTAGAAAATTGTAAATGGGTAAATAATCGCCCTTGACACATTTTATATCAGGTGCATTGGACCTGGCGCAAAGGCAACTTAATTTAAAATGCGATAAATGTTGTTGCCCTAAAAAAATAGTCAAAATAACCTTAATGAATTGACCCGCACGGCATGGGGCAGTCCTCATCCATCACTAGATTGCCAAGAGGGCTGTACACAGTGTTAAGCATTGGTAGTGTCTGTCACTGAAGAACGCGATTTTCGGGACTGAACTTACGATTGGAGCCACTTAATCGGTAGGCGACTCCTCCCGGTTCTCTTGACTTCTCACCCGGTTAAGCAAAAAAATTAACAAAACTTGAATTGTGTGTGTTTCGTGGTCAGGTGCTCAACGGCAAATTGACCATTCCTAACGCCGATCGCTCCGACAATGGAATCTACGCCTGCTGGGCTTCCAGCAACCAAGGAGAGTCGATCCACATTACCCGCCTTCTGGTGCAAGGTGCAGTATACTACACACGTGCGTGTTTGTGTAGCAGTTGCTTTGATCCGCGAGACATTGCCTCAAAAATGTCTCATTAGTACCACCCAGAGTGCGCTGCACGTGCTACGAAAGGATTTTTTGGAAAGCATTTAATCGCTAGATCACATGCCTATGATAGCAAAAGAGGTGTGGAAGCCGTTTATGAGAATAGTTTGTTAAAATGGTGGCAAAATAGTACGTGGTTTGAAATATGTACACAATGGTGAAAAAGCAATAGGGAGCATGTCTATAGAGGACAGTGCGTACACAAAGCTGTCTGCTCATGGTGGACACTGCTGCCCGTAGTGGACATCGGACACTGAACACGTTTGTCACCCCGACTGGTGCCGACCATCCCCTTGGCTCATAGGCTACTTGTATCACCGCGGTGGCTTGGAGATGTTAACTACCACGCCTGGCATGCAGGAGGTCGTGAGTTCGATCCCGACCATGATGAGATGTTAACTACCACGCCTGGTATGCAGGAGGTCGTGGGTTCGATCCTGACCCCGACGCCTGCTGTATGTTTGGAGTGTGCGTGTCTCTCTCCGTGGTTGCGTAGATTTTGCCCGGGTTGCTCTGGTTTTTCCCTCCACATTTAGAATCAACATCACACGTTTAGAGTATGTGGCCGCTACACATTTCCGCATGATAAGCCACTTTGTTGAGCTATCATTTGTGGCGTGGTCGCTTCTGAAACAGTGCCATATAGCAGCTCAGTGGGCCTTACCTGGTAAAATAAAAAATAGTTTTTTTCTTTAGTTTTATGTCTGGGTCCTGGTTTGTAGGTTTCCTTTCAATCTCCTCATGGGCCAGTGCTCTGAGTGATGCCGTAGTGTCATGGCATGATTCAAACACGGGAGCGTTTGTGATGGAACATGTATGATGCTGATGATGTATGTAGTATATGTTGACACTTCTTTCGCACCATACGTAGCCAACTGTGCTAACTGGAGGTGCTGTGCAGTGCACTTTGGGCCGCGTGAAAGAAGCGAGCGTGGAGGTCGTAAGATTAACGTTCACTCAGCAGTTGAACACATTTAGCCATTTTCTTTTTTTTATTTAGTTGTATTGTTATTCAGTAACCCAGAAAAAAAAGTTGATTCCTAAGAGGGGGAAAAACGGCAAATGACGCATAACAAACCTGGAGCGATACACCCTCAAAATTAGGGACAGACTGGGGGCATCCAGGCTTGCTACCCTCATCGCGGTAGGGGTAACGATCGGGACCGGGGCATTTATATGAAAGGGAAGAAAGAGGAGGGGTGAATCGTGTAACAAAACAGAACCGGAGCTAAAATAACATAAATGTGATGTCCAAGTTTGTCATTCTTGTTTTCTCCCTGGGGCAGCGATTGTCGTGCATTAACAGAGTTGGTGTAGTGTCCAGAGTCCCATACCTTCTCCCCGGCCCCCAATGTTCCAGTTATTCATGTTTGGGGTTCCACAGGGATGGGGACTCATTTTGCCATTTTAATAACGCGAGTAGAAGAGCTGAGCGGGCGACAACGAGCGGGCCAAACAGGGCTGCAGCGATGCGCTCTTGTGTTGCGTTTGTTTCTGGTGGTAATTGTGTTGCGTTTGTGTCTGGCAGATACTTGTGTTGCGTTTGTGTCTGGTGGTATTTCTTTTACGTTTGTGTCTGGTGGTAATTGTGTTGCGTTTGTGTCTGGTGGTAGTGTTACCTTTGTGTCTGGTGGTAATTGTGTTTGTGTTGGGTGGCAATTGTATTACTTTGTGTAGGGTGGTAATTGTGTTGAGTTTGTGTTGGGTGGTAATCTCTGTGTTCTCTCTCTCCCCCCGTGAAGGTTCTCCTGTGATCGTTCTGCCTCCCCGGAACGTGACAGCCAACATTACCCAGCATGCACTGTTCTCCTGCCGTGCCGAGGCCTACCCGTCCAACGTCACATACTCGTGGTTCAAGGTCGACAAGAACGTTCATGCTGTCAGGTGACAACAATAACAACGACGATGCCGTGTGCGTTGTGTCCGTCACGAAAAGGCGTCGCTTAGATCGGCACAGCCTCGGTGAGAGAGGGGCTGCCTCCTGGGATGGGCATCAGAGCGATCTCCACGAGTCAGACGACCAAGGGGAAGAGAAGACCTCCAAGGGCAGATGGTGGGAGACTGTTAGAGCGATGCTATGGGTCTCCGTGCGTCTCTGGCTGAGACTACAAGATACTATACGATTCTGTAGGTCTCCATATGAGACCCTTGGTTTATGTGCGAGTCTCAGAGCAGGTGGGGGGAGACTTAGGGCAGCTCTATGGTTCTCTGTGTGAGACTATGGGTCTCTGTGTGTGTCTGTGTGACGATTTATTCCTATATGATTCTGTAGGCCTCCATGTGAGACCCTGGGTCTGTGTGAGTCTCAGAGCAGGTGGGGGGAGACGGTGAGGGCAGATAGTGGAGGGCGCTGCGTCTCTACCGTGCAGCAGGAGCAGCTGTGGGGTCTGGTGGAGGGTGCAGAGCGTGAGTAGTGAGAGGGTGTGGTGGGATGCACTGCGTACACCTCACTTGGCATGTGACATGGGACCAGCCAGGTGGCTCAATGGAAAAAAGTGAGCAGCTCACATTTGGAAGGTTGTGAGTTGAAATCCTGGTTGATAAAATGAGTGCCACCTTTTGGGGGGAAGTTAACGTGAGAACTTAGCCCCTGCCATAGAAGTGTGGAATTTTCACCACTGTCTCGAGACTATCATTGGGAGATTAAAATTACAGCCAAGCTCAGTTAAGCAGGAAATTACTTTGACATGTTCATGCAATTGTGAAAAATTTTCTCTCCACAAAGAGGAACTTTAGTATCAATTCCACAAGAATGTGGTCTGCATGCAAATTTCCAAAAGGGCAGGGCCAGGTTCAGCTAAATGATTCTGTGACCATTTAAAACGAGACGGAAAACGAATTTCCTAAATGTAAAACTCATTGTTTTATAACTGCTTTTTGTTTTTAGTTCATTGTCCTTCCCCTGCACCTCCGGTTAGCGTGGTTGCCTACGTACGGTGTGAAAAAAGTTCAACATACATACTGTACATAAACACCCAGTGTCCAGTCACAACACAGGGCGGCCGGGAGGGGTGGAGGTTTTAAGGGTAAAGGCGCAGCCCTGCGATTACTTTCTTACGCCACAGCTGGCGGAAGGTCCTCTACTGGAGGGAGCTCTGGAGAGGGCTCTGTCGCGTTGGGAGCTGAGTGGTGGTGAAGTCGCTGCCAGGAATCTCCATTATTCTATCGGAGGTTCACACGAGAAAAATTATCAAATTGCTTCAAAGGGAATCTGCTTTAGGCTGCCATCCAGTGGCTGCCCTTGGAATTACCTCTGGATTTCCCTCGAGTGGGAGATTCGTGAATCGCTATGGATGTGTAGTGTCGTGCGTCTCCTTTTTATTCTCTTGCTTGAGTAGTGTCGTGCGTCTCCTTTTTATTCTCTTGCTCGAGGCTTGTGTGTGTGTGTGGCGTGCGTCGCACACACACTCAGAGACGAGGTGGTCGCAGGAGGCACTGTCCTCCACTTTTATTGTTGTTGAGTTCATGCCACCACTTGGGCCCCCTCTCTCTCATGACCATGCTGCCGCACGACCCGTCCCAGACACGACCCTGTCCGTGTTGCACCGAGGGCGTCGACCGGGACAGCCGACTAATGTCCGGCCGCGCAATGATCGGGCGAAGGCGACAGCGACGATGAGACGGGTCCAATCCCAGAACCGGCAGCCTGGGGCTCGCTCTCCGCTGCTTAGAGTCCCCTCGGCGCGGCTTAGCTCCACCCTAGCTGCACCTCCCTTCTCGAACCCACCAGAGGGTTCCAGGGGTTTCCCCAAAAGGTCTACCGTGACCCTTGCCCCAGTTCCTCCGCCCTGCCGGCACACCCGCGTATATGCTCAGTGGCGTGTGCGCTAAGTGCCCACCCGCAGTTACAGCTGCTGTACAACAGTCATCGCTATGTCACTACATATGTACATTATGTATGTTGAACTTCTTTTGCACTATACGTAGCCAACTGCACTAATCGGAGGTGCGAAGGAAGGACGACAAACTAAACACAAAAAGCAGTTCTTAAGAAATGAGTGTCCAATCTAGATGATTTTAAAGTGCAAATCTCCAGTGGCTTCCTAATATCAGAAGGAAGAGCGTTACAGACGGCTGCAGAAGCGCATCTGAAAGCGCACAATGTGGTGACCACCGTCTTTGTTCAAGGTTTCGCCAAAAGCCGCTGCTGCGTGGATCATCGGAGTGCACGTGATGATGGTTTATGCTCCTTGACGAGATCAGCGAGGTATTGTGGTTAATTTGTGGCAAGCACTGTGTGTAATGAGTGAGACCTTATAAGCATGGAGACCATTGAAACGAAGCACAAATGCCAAAAACACCATGCGGCCAGCAATAAACAGCACTCTTGAAGGTATAATAGATTAGAGTTCATACACTATGTGAATTGAGCAAAGTTACAAGGTCCTGGGAAAGGAGATGGTGGGAGAGAATTCCAAAGTGGAGCGGTGCCATGGAAGAAGTAGAAAGAGAAGCAATGTGTCTGTCAGTGTCGTGAGTGGGTGGGTTGATGAGTGAGTAAGTGGGTGAGTGATTTTGTGCGTGAGTGCATGAGTGAGTGAGTGGGAAAGTTGTTGTGACCCCCAGTGTGGCGGTCAAGCACAGTGCAGATTACATGTCAGTCTCATAGACCGAGTCCTTGACACGGATGCAGGAATCGACGAGCGAAGTTCACGGTGAGTGCATGAGTGAGTGTGTGAGTTATTGGGTGAGTGTGTGTGAATCAGTGAGTGTGAAAGTGAGTCAGTGGATGAGTGAGTGTGTCGGGGAGTAGTTGAGTGAGTGGGTGGGTGAGTGGGTGAGTGAATGAGTGCGTAGTGAGTGTGTGAGTGCGTGAGTGTGGGAGTGCGTAAGTGAGTGTGGGAGTGCGTGAGTGCCTTAGTGAGTGAGTGAGTTGTAACCTGCAGCGTGGTGGTTGAACGCACTGTGGAAGAGACAAAACAGTCCGGTCAAACGAACCCTCAACATGGGAGGAGGAATCAAAGAGTTAAGTTCGTGGAGAGAGTGGTGGTAGGGACAGGACAGCGATAGCCACGATGGACTCCCACGCATCTCCCTGGACCCCTGCACACTCGACGCTCCGCTGGCGAGGCCATGCGGGGTGTCTGTGCGGGGGGGGGGCGGTGGAAAGGGGTCGATTTCCGCTAACCGCTAACAACGGTGATGGATATCCGAACCGGTCCTGCTGCGCCTCCCTCTAGGTCGACTTGGCCTTAAACGAGTACCCGGTGCGGTGGTGTGTAAAATATCGGCCGGGCGTTGTTCTGGCCACACTAGCCCCTTGGTAGTCGCTAACAGTACTTGACCCCAACAGGCAGAATAGGCTACACGAGGGATCTTTGCCTTTGTGCGCCGCCAGTGGGCTGGAGGGGCGTGTGCGGGTGCTGCTGGACGGGAGCCTGCTCATCTACCGCGCCAGCCCGAACGATGCGGGGGCCTACTCCTGCGTGGCGAGCAACGGCCTGGGAAACGCCGCCACCGCCTCGGCGCACCTCACCATCCACTGTGAGCCACCGCACTGCACCGTACCGCACCACACCGCACCGTACCACACCGTACCACACCGCACCGTACCACACCGTACCACACCAAACCGTACCACGCCCCACTGCACCATGCCACCAAAGCACACCGAGCCATAGCCAGACGTGTCGGCGTCCCGGACAACAACAAGCTACCCCCTCCACCCCTGAGCTCACCACACAGTTGAGCCTTCCCTCCCCGCCCTGCCCGTCCCCCCCTCCCCGCCCGCCCCACCGCTGCGGCGGCACCCGAGGGTGTAGCAGCACTCGGCAGATTCTGCCACAAACGTTCAGCGATCGGGTTACAGAATTCCATGGTAAACAGGCTCCTGTCTACCCTCTGGTGGATGAACGCCTCCCCACGCCATGTCGGTCATTGAGCTTGTTTGACCATACTTCACGCTGGTCAGTGCGGGTTGGTGAAGGGGGTGATGGGGGAGGAGGTGGCAAGATCCGTTCAGATATCTCTCGCCACTGATGTTCGCTGTCGCCAGGACTCAAACTCAGGTGTTGGCAGGTACAGAGTGTTCGCCACTGTGGCGTCTCCCCATCCAATTATGATGATTGTATATGTGTAGTGAGTCCAATTGAGTTGCAGACGTTGTCTTGGGAGCAACACTATTTATTCAATAAATCAACGTAACATAACACAACCTATACTTGGGTGTTGAATGCTCATCTAGCCACGCTACAGCAGAACTAGACACGGTTCGCTATCCCGGCCCGGACCACAAGCTAGATCCCGGACCACGTGGCTAGAGGCTTCTTTTACCCGACATGGATCTTCATCACCAGCAACACGAAGAACCCCGAACCCCCCATGGGGCCCCCGTTATATCGGCCCAGGCTGAGGCTGGCTCCGCCCCTCGCCCCGCCCACCTTCTAGATCTCTAGAGCTCTTTCCCAAAGGCTCCCCGAGAGCTCTTTTATACCACGTGACCACCCAGCTGCCCCCGTCCACCGGTGGCCCGGTCACGTGTCGGCAGGTCAACCAGCGTATCATGCCCCAACGTAACCCTGGCTGACTGACACTCCCTCTCGCTCCCTCACCGGGAGCCCGCACCGCGCATTGTCCGTGGTGCCTCCGCGCTGACCAGCGCTCACCCAAGCCCCGCTAGGGCTGGTACTACACCCAGTAAGCAGGCTACACATAATGCCAACACATTATCCGCCATGGCTTTGCAAGCCCGTCACCACACAGTGGCAATCACAGTCACTACATCTGCATACAAATGCTAGGAATGATTTTTCACGTGGAACCGAGTCCGCATCAAGTGAGCGGTGAGCAGATTGTACTCATTGCTTGCCATGGTACTCGAACGAACTCGCGGTTCACGCACAGCAGCAACGGCTGTGCCCCACAGAGCATGCTGCATGAAGCGGATTCTCTGGTTTGCACTCGCCGTCCAGTTCTGCACCCCGAAAAACATTTTGTCTCTGCACAAAATGAGACTGCATTTCTTGTTATTAATGGTGACAGGAGCGTGTGAGGTGGCGGCAGCGGCAGCTTGCAGGACGCCTTCATCCAGCAGTGGATTGAACGTGGCTGTTGATGACGATGATGAATGGCGACAAGAGGAATGACCACCGCTTGATTCGTAAAGCCACGACATTCTCGATTTCTCCCCTTGCCCCCCCTCCCCCCACGCGATGCCCCCGAGGGTTTGCTTTGCGAGCAGCACCGCCGCAACAGAGCCCTCGCCATTCGTGCTCAGTCCTGGTCGCTGGTCAACTCCACCACCACCACCATCATCACCACCTCTCTCTGGGGGGCCGATAAAATAGGTACTAAATTTTGATTTAAAGCTTTCGTGACTGCAGGGATTGATATTCTTGGTTCTTTCGGTAAAATATACGTGACTTTACCGAAAGAACCAAGAATATAAAAATAGGTAGTGTTTTGTGGGAAGCTGACTGCGGTTGTCCAGTGGAGAGACTGGCTTTCACACTGGCTCATAGATGAGTGCTGCCCAATGCCTGTTTAGTGAAACTAAATACTCTTAAAACTATAAACGATTTTTATTTTACCAGGTAATGCCCACTGAGCTGTATAGCTCAAATGATAGCTCAATGAAGTGGCTTATCATCATGTGGAAATTTAGAGCAGCAGCCAAATATTCTGAACGTGTGATGTTGATTCTAAATGTGGAGGAAAAAACCGGAGGACCCGGATAAAAATCCACGCGACCGCGGAGAAAGAGATATGCAAATTTCACATATACATAATTGCCAGTACCAAAATATAATAGGGTTTTTCTCCTTTTTTCTGGCAACAAAACTTAAACCTTTTTTACAAGGATTCATGTCTGCAATAACCACAATACTTGCAGTCAAAATGCAAACAAAAACACACTGAAAATATATATACGCCAAAAGGCGTATAGCCTTTTGCGTCATCTGGTCTAGCACCAATTGAGAAAGCTGTCTCTGGTGTGGACCAATCAGTTTCAAGGACAATGCATATATTATCAGTGTGTTTTTTGTTTGCATTTTGACTGCAAGTATTGTGGTTAATGCAGACATGAATCCTCGTAAAAAAGGTTTCAGTTTTGTTGCCAGAAAAAAGGGGAAAAACCCTATTATTTCACATATACAGGCATCAGGGTCAGGATCGAACCCACGACCTCCTGTTTACCAGAATCAGAAAGGGTTTTATTCGCCATGAAAGTTCACACCGACACGGAATTTACTTTGGCAGGATGGTACATACATTCAACATATAGGAATCTAAAATCTTAAATAAGTTTTAAACAAGTTTTACTATAATAATAAGGGTTAAAAGTCTAACTAACACCAAGGGGCTGAAGTATATAAAATAGCTTTAAGATATAATTTAAAAATACAAATAGGTTAACATAGTTAATATCGGCAAGGTGTCATTATGTATATAAAATGTTAAAATCAGTGTAAGCCCTTGGCCTTGATTAACAGGCCAGCAGCAGATGGGAGGAAACTGTTTTTATGGCGTGAGGTTTTGGTCCTGATGGACCGAAGCCTTCTGCCGGAGGGGAGTAGCTGAAACAGAGAGTGTCCAGGGTGGGAGGAATCGGCCACAATCTTCCTCGCTCGCCTCATGGTCCTTGTCATGTGCAGGTCCTCGAGGGTTGGTAGATTGCAGGCAATTACCTTCTCAGCAGTGTGGATGATACGCTGCAGTCTGCTCTTGTCCTTGGCAGTGGCAGCAGCGTACCAGACGGTTATGGAGGAGGTGAGGATGGATTCAATGATCGCTGTATAGAATTGCACCATCATTGTCTTTGGCAGGTTGAATTTCTTCAGCTGCCGTAGAAAGTACATCCTCTGTTGAGCTGTCTTGGTGAGGGAGCTGATGTTCAGTTCCCACTTGAGGTCCCGGGAGAGAATAGTGCCCAGGAAGCGGAAGGACTCTACAATTTTGACTGGGGAGTCTAACAGGGTGATGGGGGTGAGTGGGGCTGTATTCTTCCTGAAGTCCACAACCATCTCAACTGTCTTTAGAGCATTTAGCTCTAAGTTGTTCTGGCTACACCAGGTCACCAGGTTGTCAGCTTCCCACCTATAGTCAGACTCATCCCCACCAGAGATCAGCCCAATGAGGGTGGTGTCGTCCGCAAACTTCAAGAGTTTGACGGACAGATGATTGGAGGTGCAGCTGTTGGTATACAGGGAGAAGAGCAGTGGGGAAAGGACGCAGCCCTGAGGAATTCCGGTGCTGATGGACCTGGAGTCAGAGACTTGTGTTCCCAGCTTAACGCACTGCTTCCTGTCAGACAGGAAGTCTGTGATCCACCTGCAGGTGGAGTAGGGCACGTTCAGCTGGAAGAGCTTGTCCTGAAGCAGGGCAGGGATGATGGTGTTGAAGGCAGAGCTGAAGTCCGCAAACCGGATCCTGGCGTAGGATGCTGGGGCGTCCAGATGCTGTAGGGTGAAGTGGAGGGCCATGTTAACTGCGTCGTCCACAGACCTGTTGGCTCTGTAGGCAAACTGAAGGGGGTCCAGGAGAGGGTCTGTGATGGCTTTGAGGTGTGCCAGGACCAGGTGCTCAAAAGACTTCATTACCACAGATGTAAGGGCGACCGGTCTGTAATCATTTAGTCCTGTTGGCCTTAGCTTTTTGGGCACAGGGATGATGGTGGAGGACTTGAGACAGGCTGGTACATGGCATGTCTCCAGGGAGGTGTTAAAGATGTTGGTGAACACCGGAGACAGCTGGTCAGCGCAGTGCCTGAGGGTGGCTGGAGAGACAGAGTCCGGCCCGGCTGCTTTGCGTGGAATTCTGCCTCTTGAAAATTCTATTAACTTCTCCCTCCTGAAAGGAGAGAGTCGTCTCTGTACCAGGCAAGGTAGTTAACATCTCACAACCACGGCGACCCAGTTAAACTAAACTACATTATTTTTATCATGTGTACATTTATAGGAGTCAAATACTCTAAATGCGTGATGTTGATTCTAAATGTGGAAGGAAAAACTGGTGGACTGGAGAAGAATCCACAAGACCACGGAGAGAGCATGCAATCTCGAAATATGCAGGCATCAGGATCGGGATCGAGTAAACAGCTTTCCACTTCGGCGGCCCAGTTAGGGAAACGCTGCTCGTTTAGCAGGTCGTCGGGGCCACTGCGTGAGGAATTACAGTGATAATTTAATTGATGGTGTTGAAGTTGGTGGGAGAAATATAAGGTGATACATTTATAGATACCCCACTAAAATGGTAGGGGGGATGACTCAGCCCATAATTCCTCCGGGTCGATAAAATACATATCATGTTGTGGAAATTCAATAATAGTCGCCATACGGACAACTGCGACTCTGCCATAGGAATGTGGAGATTCTTCCACTGGCCCAGGGCTGCAAACAGACGATGAGCACCACCTCAATGTTAAAGTGAGCAGGATATCATTTTGACTTTTCCCTTCTGACCTGTATAATTGACATTTTAACTTCAATGCCACAGGTATGGATGAACAGCGCTGATGAGAGAAGCCAGCCAGTAACTCCCACCCAGGGGATAAACATTGTCGGAAGAGCACGCGGACTATCGCGTGATACTCGTGACAGCATTTGTCATACAGACACTGATGCCTGTGGTGGATTCGGCGCATGAATGCACTGCAGCACAGCAGTGAGTGAGAGGTGGTGGCGATTTGGGTAGGCCTTCATCCAGCAGTGGATTAACCACGGATTGATGCATCGGTGCCCAAGGGTAATGAAAAACGTGCTTCCTCGACACTGACCAGTACTGACGCGCTGGCACCTGCATCTCCCTTGCTGGGAGTGTGGTTCTGACCCCGTGTCCACGGCAATCGGCCTGTGTCTGAATCACGGTGGCAATCCGGCATGCGTCCCACGGTGATGGCAATTCGGTTGGAAACAAGAGACAGCCTCTTCGGTTCACGGGGAAGGCTCTTTGCTAATAGTTGTGTCTCCCATTCAAAGGTGTCCACGTTGATAATGCAGATTCAAGATTTGATTAAGAAAGAATGCGGGTCCTTTCAGCAGCAGAAGGCATTAGAGGCATCGGCGCTGTTTGAAGCTTACACGTTGGAGAGAACAAATAAATGCTAGACCGGGTTATATGTGGTTCAGCAACATGGCCATTATCAACAACAAGATAAAGAAAACGGAACAACTGTCGAGGGCACACCACATTGTGGATAGACGCATGCTTGGAATTGCATTGAGAGATGGAGAGAGGAGCACGCGGATTAGACAGTGTACGCTTGTTATTGGCGTCATCCTAACTGTTCAGAAGAGTGAGTTGGGGTTTGGCCAGGACGTGTCATGGTTAAAGGGGCGATGGACCACGGTCGAGAATAATACTGGAGTCGCAGGCAAGGCATGGATCTCGCCTGTTGAGAGGAGGTGCTGTGTGGAATATTGAGAGGTTGGTGGTGGCTTGGAAGGCCTTTATAAATCCAGCAGTGGATTGATCACGCGTGTATGTATGTGGAATTTATTTCACACCGTACGTAGCGTAGCCAACCATGCTAATCAGAGGTATGGGGGAAGGATGACAAATCATCATGGCTAATGATGATGACAACAGCACAACCTTTGCGGGCTGCACACGAGTGTGTTGCAGCTACGGAGCCCATCTAGTGGGCCGGTTCCCGTGGGCAGCTAAAAAGTTGTGGCCTTGGCCTGCTGCATAAAACCTCCCCATGGGCCGCCTTTGGCCTGAGGGTGTTCGTGTTTGATGCCCCCTCTTCCAGACCCAAAAGTAAACTCATTCAATAAGCGGTACAACATTGACTTGGCACGTCATGAAAATTTCGCCTCGGAAAATATGGGGATGTAATTGACACAAAATTACCGCTGTGGTGCAAAGAACATTGTTCACGGCTGGGCCGCTCCCTACTGCGCCCATATGGACGTGCCCTCCATAGACTGTGCCATCCATGGGCTGTACCCTCCACGAGCCGTGCTCTACATTAGCTATGCCCTCCAGGAGTCGTGCGTGTACGCCATGCAGCTCCGAGGGGCACGCGGTGCGACGCCGCAGCACTTGCGTCCCCAGTGCATGCGCGGATTGCTGCCACGCCAGGTGTTGTCGCCATTTCTGAGGTGCAATGAGAGGGGGGAAACTCTATACAACCCTTTGTTGTGAGTGGTGTATTTGTTAACGTTCTTTGAAGAGTTAAAGATCTCCTAGGACAGCAGCTGCTGCCTCCTCGCCAAGAGGATGATCCTGGGAAATCCAGGGCAGGTGGTGAGCCCTACAAGACAGAGACCAATTTTTGTTGTAGGGATGCATCTCAGATTTAACCAGCGTGGATGTTTAAGGACAATTCTCGATCTCTTTGGGATGTTGAATCAATGGCGTTGCGGGGCTGGTTGAAGGTGTCTTCGTGCTAGCAATGGCGACATCAGACGATGCCACTTGGTGAGAAAAGCACGGAAGTGACATCATGAAAGTGGCATTGCTTCCTGTGAAGTCATGTTTTTGGATCAATCTGAAAATAAAAAATATAAATTCAGATCCGAAATTTGGTATCCAAAGAGGATATATATATATTTTTTTATTTTGGATAATCCCAAAATGGGAACACATCTCAAGTTTGATTCGGGAATCAATGTTGTGGTTGGGCCACGTAATGATCCGCTAAGTAGAAGAACAATTCTCAAAACCAAATACTACCAGAGCATGTTTTTTGTCTGCATGTTCACCATGAGTATATGTGGTCAATGCAGTTTCAGATTGGTGTTTCAACATCTTAACACCTGTTTTATTGCCAGAAAGGGTAAAGCCTATTCTTATGCACCAAGCATCTTCAGCAAAGTGCAGGAAGTCAGCATAACAATTTTTAGAATCTGGCTACCCGAGTTCGATTCCTGTTCATGGTCAACACCAGTGACGATTATCTGAACCAGTCCTGGACCTTGGCTAGGTTGACTCAACTTCAAACGAGTATCTTGCGCGGTGTGTAAAACCATCGTCACTGGGGAGACAAAGGCACCCACCCGCCTAGTGTGCTGCTCGCTAACAGCACTTGCCCCAAAAGTCTGTTAAGGCTACACCGGGGGGGATCTTTGTCTCACAGACCCGGCGCGGGTGGTGGGCATGCCGGCAGTGACGTACGTGCCCATTGGCCTGGCCGGCTTCGTGCGCTGCCCCGCGGACGCAGTGCCCCCCGTGTTGCGCATCGACTGGAAACGGGACGGCCGACCTCTTGACCTGCAAGCGGTGAGCGCCCCCCCACACACCCCCCCCCACCTCTATCCCCTCCCTCCTCTCACCTCACTGTGCTTCTCCACAATGGCTGCCGTTTCCTCTTCCCCCATGCAAGTTTTAGAAGAGGCGTCCCGCCATGTGAATGTCGGCTCACTGTGATGGCGATTGAAAACCACAGAGGAAAGGAATAAAAAGAATAAAAAGTATTAAATTACATTTCCTGTAACAAAAGTTCGCTTGGACGAAATTCATTTGACAAACCGTTTAAAGTCAAATGAAGTTACGCCAATGATTGCACTGGTATGTAGACAGAGAAGGACATGAGTCGAACACAAGCGCTTGTGAAGGTGTCGCACAGCAGCGCTGACTAGTGATGTAGGTGGGAGAGGCGCCGAGGGTGCTCGTGAAGTGACGGACCTCCCGGGGTTCGGTGGCATTCGCGGGGCGTGGAGGGAGAGAATCCCGAGGTGAGATTCCAGACCTGGATGCTCCATGGTGTCATGGGGCGTCCAAGGTCCCGAAGGAGTGGCGTGACGGCTCTGGGTAAGTGATGGGCGTTGAGTGTCGACGCCAAGTATGCCGTGTTTTCCTCCTGCCCTACCGCCGGCAGATGCTGGGGTGGTTCCAGCGAGCAGATGGGGCGCTTGTGATCCCCGAGGTGAGCAAGGCGGCGCTGGGCTCCTACAGCTGCACCCCGCACAACGCCTACGGCAGCATGGGAGAGTCAGCCAGCACCCAGCTCATACTCAAGGTGGGGCGCATCGCCAGGGAGACTTTCGCTTGTCCGCAGAAAAGGTAAAGGTGCAGCCCTGGCGACGTCATGCCAGTGCTGGTGCATAGGACGTCCGCTCGAGGTCGCTCTGGATGTCCTCTCCGGCCGGCATTTATTTTTTTGGTGTGAGAGCGCGCCGATTGACCGGCTGTGGTGGTGAACTCATTCTCACCGCTGGGTGGACAGAGCCTGTGGTAGGGGAGGGGGGAATTTAAGAAACTTGCCCCATTAATTACAACTGCTGCGCCGGGAGGTTGAACCGGAGCGCTCGAAGCAGTGCCAACCATTACGGGACGCTTCCTCTGTGTGTGTGGCCAGGTCAGGATTGGTGGTAGAGCCGGGGGCTCACAAGCAGAAGTGTGCAAGTTCAAACCCTGATTGGGGGTCGATGGAATAAGTACCACTTTGTGGGGAGGTCAGTAGTGGTTGTCTCGGTTGCGAGATGTCAACTACCTCGCCTGGTATGCAGGTGGTCATGAGTTCGGTCTCGACCCTGACGCCTGCTGTATATTTGGAGTTTGCATGTTCTCCCCGTGGTCGCATGGATTTTTCTCTGGGTCTTCCGGTTTTCCTTACACATTTAGAATCAACGTGCGTTTAGAGTATTTGGCTGCTATAAATTTCCACGTGATAAGCCATTTCGTTCAGCTATCATTTGTGAAAGCCAGGTCACTCCTGAAAAAGAGCGACATAGCTCGGTTGGCCTTACCTGGTAAAATAAAATAAAATATTTGAAAGTTTAATATTTTATAGACTCACCGCCACCACAGGAACGAGGAAATCTCCACCGCCGACTTTAGGGCCATCGGTGGGAGATGAGCGCCGCCTCGACGACGCTCGTTAAAGCTGGAGTTTGCTCTGACTCTTGATTTGCGCGCGCGTGCCCACGTGTGTCTGTGTGTGTGCGTGCCAAGCCTCCCCCATACTTTACGCTGGTACCGGCGCGGGAATACAAGCAGGAGGTGGGGCGTGAGCTGCGCATCCCCTGCTCGGCGGTTGGAGACCCACCCCCCTCCTACTCCTGGAGGCAGGTGAGCAGCAGCAGCAGTAGCACCGGCGCCAAGAGCAGCCGCACCAGTGCCAGCAGCGCTCCCGATAGCGGCGCCACTGTGGGCCCACTACTCGGGTTGTTCATGAACAGCGACACCCCGATTTATGTCGTTTCACATATTCGTGGTCGCTTTATTAGTACAGCCGCGTGTTGTACTTTTCATACCGCGAATTGGATATAACGCGATGTATGTTTAAGGAGCACACATTTTTACGACGCGGATGCGAATTGGATATAACGCGATTGAGTGAAGGGAATTACGTTGCGTAATTAGGAATAAGCGGTCGTACGGCTGCCTCGGTGTAGCATCGCACAAGGTGGGATGCTGCTGGATGCTTCTAGATGCTATCCACGCACCTCAGTCTTTGTTCGGCCTGCATACGCATCTCACGTGTTATCGCTGGCTGCTTCACCCTATATTATATTTTATTCATCATAAAACGATTTTTCCATATCGCGGCATTTTTCAGGAACGCAACAACTACCACGTTATAGGAGAACAGACTGTGTACCACTACCTGATTGTCATCGCCTCAACCCACCTCCGTTTAGCACGGTTGGCTATGTACAGTACTAGAAGAAGTTTAACATTCACACTGACGTCGCTGACAGCATCACCCGTCCTTTCTGGTATCCGTCTTCTCGGGCCTTCGCCGCCACCTACCCTGTACACGAGCTACTTTGCATCGCGCGTAAAGAAGTCTACTGTACCATAGATTACAATATATTATTTACGTATGGTATTTTGGTGATTTTTTTAGTGTACTCTATTGTATTGTACCCTGTATAATTTGTGTTAAAGTTTACTGCTTGTACCCTGAGCACGGAGTTTTCAGTCATTTAATGTAACATTGTGGATACATGTAAGATGAAGATGCGCGCATTAACGGACAGCGTCACCACAATGAGTAGGTTGGCAGGTTGCGTGCAGTGGGGTAAAGTGTGGGTACATCGACCTCTTCACAGATGCCTTGCCAGCGGTGGAAAAGAAGGTCAAATACCTTCCCGAGTGGAGGCTCTTCCCGAGGGTGGGAAATATTTGGAGACGTTTTAATTTCGAGCCTTGGCCCATGATAGCATCTGGAGGTTGTCAAGGGTGCTCGATAAAGGTCAGATGTCAGGCTTTGAACTTTAAAAAAAGATTACTTTTGCATTATATTCTCCCCAAGAACTGAAGGTTTATAATATAAAACTTTGTTTGTATCTGAGAGTTCTGAAAGGTGGTGACAACTCCAAGAGTGTGGCACTAAAGCCGACAAAGAGCTGGGAAGGTCACCTCCAGTACCAGCTACACTCTATACAGAGCCTAATCACGCTCGTGTTTTGTATTGTTCTCTATTGGCTTGTAAATGGATGGACACATTTGGATTGAGCCTGTAACATTTCAACACATTCAAGACACAAAGATGTGCACTGCATGTACAATTATCCCTCGGCCTTTTCCAGACCACGAGTTCAAGAGCACTGAATGTCTCGCCGCTTTGTCATCATTTCAAAGATTTGAGAAAATGTGGCCATTCCATCAACAGGCGGTAGCAGCAGCAGTAAGAGAACGACCCAATGGTAGAGCGGTTCTATCCTCATTTGGACTCATCAGTCCCGTGGTCAGAGATGTTCACTGCTGCCACATGCATCTGGGAGCCCTACATTTGGAGAGGCACCCCGTGAGCACTGCCAGAAGGCAACAATGTTTACGTCTGCAATGACGACGGATTTTTGTCATCATTTTCAGATTGAATTCAACACATTCTCTTTTCCCTTCGAGGCCGGAGCATTATTGACGAATGCGTTGAGTTTTTGTTCCACACGCTTGTGCACCACTGCCGCACGATCTGTCATTTGAGTGGCCTCCCGTGCGTGTGCGTGCGCTCGTGCGCGGTGCGCTATGAACTTGGCAACCCGAGTTAGATTCCCACTCACGACCAACACCAGTGACGATTACCTGCACCGGTTATGTGCCTCCCCTAGGTAGACTCAGCCTCAAATGAGTACCTGGTGCAGTGTGTAAAACATCGCCCCTGGGGAGACAAAGGCGGCCGGGTATGATGCTGGCCACCCACCCCCTTCGTGTTCTATGCCGGTCTCCATCGGTGCTGCTCGCTCACAGCATTTACCCGAACAGTCTGTAAAGGCTGTAAAGGATCTTTGTCTTTTTGCGTGAAGGAGGGCCACCTGCTGCCCCAGCAGCCCCCTGCACGTGACGGCACGCTCTACATCCGGGCACTGCACAAGGAGGACTCGGGCCGCTGGGCCTGCGTGGCTTCAAACGTGGTGACCAGCATCAGCGCCGACACGTACCTCTACGTCACCGGTACGGCGGACGGAGACCAGTTCGATCCTTCGTGTTGGGATTCTGAGAGATGCACTCTGGGTAATTGCCTTGAGAGTGCAGTGAGAGGAACACATGGATTGAAGGCCGCGCGCGGGTTCACAACAACATCCGAAGCATCGAACGGGCTTGGGCAGGACGCGTCTCTAGCAGGTCAGATGTGGGTGAAGGTCAAGGAATGGAATGCATTTGAGAGGGCGTCCAACGTGCGGATGGAGAAATGCAATCGGCTTCTGTGAAGGTGCCACGTGGATTATCACATTGCTTGGTAATTCGCAGAGGGCCTCGTGCAACAGTGGATTGTTAACCATGGCTGATGGTGACGATGATGACGATCATCAGGTCGATTATCGCACAAAAAGTGCTCGCCGCAAATGAATCACACGACCTTGCTGATCTCGTCAAGGAACATAAACCATCATGCAAACCCCAGTCATCCTCGCAGCAGCAGCGGCTTTTGGCTGGCCATTGAACAAAGACGGTCACCACATCATGCGCTTTCAGATGCGCTTCTGCGGCCGTCTGGAACGCTCTTCCTTTCAACATTAGTAAGTAACTGGAGCTATGCACTTTTAAATCTAAATAGAAAACGAATTTATTGAGAAGTAATTGATGTATTAAGTTTGGTGTCCTTCCCTCGCACCTCTGATAAGCACGATTGGCTATGTACAGTGCGAAAGAAGTGCAACATACACAAATACTACATACATCATCAACGGTTAATACTTCATATCGTGGCAAAAAGTATTTAAAAAAACAAAAAACCTAAACTATGTTTAATTTCATCAGGTAAGGCCCACTGAGATGTATAGCTATTTTTCAGAAGCGACATGGCCATAAATGACAGCAAAACGGAGTGGCTTATCATGTGGAAATTTACACCAGCCAAATACTCTAAATGTGGAGGGAAAAACCGGAGGACCCCGAGAAAAATTCACGCGAACACGGGGAGAACATGCAAACTCCAAATATGCAGGCGTCAGGATTGGGATCGAACCCACGACCTCCTGTATACCAGGCGAGGTAGTTAACACCTCGCTACAACAATACAAACGGACAATAGAAAAGAACAGCCCTGCACGTAAGGCAGCAGGTACACCCGGACGGGGGTGTGTGTGTGCGCGTCGCGTGCGAGCCTTGTCCCCCGCCCGCCACCCCCCCATGAAGGAGCCTGCGGTGCCCCCCCCCCCCCCCACCCGCCCCCCCGTGCAGGCACCACGCCCCACTCGGCGCGCGACCTCCACGCCTCTTCCGCCCTCGACTCGGCCAATCTGTCGTGGGCCCCGGGCTACGACGGTGGATATGCCCAGCACTTCACTGTCTGGTACCTTCATCCACTCTGGCCGATGGGTTTAAGAAACCCCCCTTCCCACCCCTCGCCCGTTTTATATTGTCGTGGAAGTTTCTATGTTAACATTGTTTTTATAAATATATGTGTATGAAGCAATATGTTTCATGGCGGTATTAATAGGATTTGCATTCCAGAGGTCGCCGGTTAGATCCCGTAAGGGTGTCAGTATGGAATTACAGTGCGGTAAGGGGATTTATTTTAGTTCTTAAGAATGATACGATATTACGGTATGAGATTTTATTCATCAGGTAGGGTACAAAAGTACGGAATATTGTCGTTCCCTTTTTGTACTCTCTTCATACACCAACTCAGTTAATCAGTTAATTTCTGATAATCATTCGTAATTTCAAGATAGAATCAAACATGTTCACAGGATATTTGTTTAGTTATTTTAAGAGTAAGGAGCTTTCTACAAACAAATTAATCATGCAAAACGATAAACTATGAATTTACTTTGATTTGAAGCTTTCGTGACTGCAGGAATCCATACTCTTTGCTTGTCGTTTATCCTTTATTTTCTAAGCTTTTTTTTCTTAAGTACGATGTAAGGTATGGAATTACAGAACAAAATTTCAGCGGCCTGGTGGGGTATGGAAACATTTTTGAAGGTACGGTATGAAATTATTGTTCGATATTTTACCTTACCACACTGCCACCCTGGTTTCCTGGTGCGGCACATGTAAAACTGGGCACGTTTTTGAACTCTGCCTCTCGACTAACTGTGGCGTAACCCATCTGCGGCCGTCTGGCCATTTATAGCCATCTGGCCAGCTTGGAAGAAGAGGCCAAATAGCCTCTGGAGTGGCTCTGTTAAGCTCCCTCCAGTGGGAGGCCCTTCTACCTGGAGTGGCACGAGTACACAATTGCCTCGGTCGATCCAGCAGTGTACTTGGGTAAACCGCAAATAGTCAGGTCCAGGTGTGGTGGGGTAAAGTTGGGGGTACTCCCACGTCTTCCGAGATGTATCCTGCAGCATAGAAGAGGTTGGCCACGTGCCCTCGAGAGAGGGGGCTCCACAGAGCTTCCTGTACTGGCCCTTCCGCCAGCACGGCCACGGGGGAGGCAGTTGTGGGGCTGCCCCCTTGCCACCATCTGCACACCTTCCGCGTGCCCGCGCGGGCGTGGTTTATGTTAAGGGGGGGTTCTGCGCCACGTTGTTTGGTGGGGGGGGGACGTGTGCCGCCAGGGTGAAGCGGCTCGACCGACGGCCGTCCTACTGGGACCCGCTGCCGGTGCCTGCCGCTCACTCGGAGATCACCGTGGGCGACCTGGAGCCCGGAAAGTTCTACCAGTTCAGCGTGCTGGCGCACAACCAGATGGGCAGCGGGCCCTTCAGTCCCATCCTCACCATCCGCACGCAGTGTGAGCTCCTCTCGCGCCGCCCACGTGGCGGCCGGTGTCGCGCGCCGAGATTCCGAGTCGCGGCCTGGCTCTGGCACAGCTTCTGTCACGGCTCGGCCCGGGCCTTGAGCCGCTCGGCTGTTGCCAAAGATGCACGAGCGGGCTGGCTCGGCCGTGGCTTGGCCTCAGGCTCAGGAATCCCGGGTGTGGCTGGGAACATGCTCCGAGCCGGCTCAAGTGAAGCGTGGATTTTGAGCCGTGGCTCACTTGAGTATAGAGCCGAGCTGGAGCCGTGCCGAGGCTAAGCAAGCAGGCATACGTGTTTTCGGCGGTGGTACATAGTTCGTTGGGGGCTCTTTCGAGAGATTTAGACAAGTTGTAGCTAAATGAAATGCCGACAAAAATACATATTTCGTGAAATGTGGGAGATATAGACAAGAGGCAGAGATGAGATTCATATTTGTTTACCGTTTTTCGGTAATTATCTTGAGATTAAACGAAGATGTAGAACCTTTTAATTGTATCCTTTCTCAATGCGCAAGCCCTCGTACTACACCGATGTGGCTCCTGTGATGCCACAATCAGAGTTATTCTAACTCTACTAATCACTCAGCCTAGTGCATTATGCAAACCCGTCAATAGTTTAACAGGATCACAATGCACTTCTTCAGGAATGTTTTACTTTTCTTTTTTGCACCGTGCATGAGGTTTTGTGCTTGTTCATACACACTAGACTAGTTTTAGGTTGGCCATGAGTTTAGTGTACATTAAAATTTTAGCTCATGTCACTTTACACACGGAATGTCCTGCAGCTGCTGCCCACTGCTGATGGTCTGTGAGGTGCTCATCCTTGTGATAGAGCCGGGCAGGTTTCTTAAATCCTTGTGTGCATGCGCGCACGCGCGTTTTTCCTTCGCCAGCCCCATACGCCACAACGGCCGAGCCGCACCTGCGCGCGGGATTCAATTCGGCCACGCTGTCTCCTCCGCGGTGCCTCACCGCCAACCAGACGGAGAGCGCCCTGCTGCTCACGTGGCTCCCGCCGCTCAACCAGAGCGAGGCAGCCTTCAACTACAGCGTGGAGTCGCGACACCGCTGGGCGGGTTGGGAGGAGGTGGAGACCGTGGCCGGCTCGCACACCCAGGTGGAGCTGCGCGGGCTGCTCAAGGTAACCGCCCCACGTCTCTCGCTCGTTCCGTTCCTGTTTGCGAGTTGGTGCTGGGAGAGGGAGGGCGGGGGGCGGGCAGTGGCAAGGGGCAGGGGGAGGGTTTAAGAGTCACACCATTAATGTTAGCCGTGGCTCAGAATCGGACTCGGGTCAACAGGTTCATAGTGCGGCAAGCTAACCAGTGTGCCGCCGCTCCACGTTTGTAAAATGTTGAAATTGTGGCTAAATGTACTCCCTCATTAGCATGGTTGGCTATGTACGGTGCAAAGAAGTTCAACATACCGATCCACTGCTGAATGAAGGCCTCCCTATGCCGTCACCATCCCGCAAGGTCCTGGGATGCTACTGTTCATCTCGCTCGTGTGTAAGGAGCTGATTTCAAAGTTCCATCTCCATCGTGGTCGTACTCTTCTCCATTTTCCTCATTTGGCTGGCAATCCATCAGTAGCCTTGTCCAATCGGCCATTGACACTGCTCAAGATGTGTTCCATTGTAGAGAATGTTAACACTATCCACAACAACGCTCTGTGGTTATCTTGTGGCGTGTATTACGTGGACCCTTGTTTCGAACGGAGACCCATTTCCTTCGGAACGGGTGCTTGCCCACAAACAGTGGGCAGTTCACCAACATTGACTCAAGCAAGCCTAACTAAACTAAATTGTTTTTAGTTTACCAGGTAAGGCCCACTGAGCTATATCAGGGCCGTATTATCTAATAGATACAGTAGGTACTGTCCCTAGGGCCTACATAGCAAGGATAGGCACAGTGTATATGCAAAGAGGCAGAATCATATTCTTAGTTTTTTCGGTAAAGTCACGTTGAAGAGAAACAACAAAATAACAAAATATATATAAAACAATAAAAAATTATCACGACGTTTCGACCATAACTCAAACGGTCATCATCAGGTGTGTCGGTTTGAGTTATGGTCGAAACGTCGTGAGAATTTTTTATTGTTTTATATATATTTTGTTATTTTGTTGTTTCTCTTCAACGTGACTTTACCGAAAAAACTAAGAATATGAATTACTGCAGTCACGAAAGCTTTAAATCAAAATTTAGGCAGAATCATGTCAATGTTTTTTTTCAAAAGGTGAAAAAGATTAACACCGGCGAGCCTTTTTTCATTTCTAAAATGACCAAGTAACATCTTCAAATGGTGTTTGTCTCACGATCTCATTCTCAATAGAGAGCAGTGCAAAGGAAGACTGTGGCGTTGTTGCCCAATGGTTGATCAGCTTTAGCTTCGAAAAAGAACACGCCCCTTCACATTTCATTCCCAACATGGCAAGATACAGCCTTAGAGCAATGTTAACATTTGGAAAGTAGCTGATCAGCTACTTTGGGCTTGGAGCACATCTGCCATACAAATGCTGCAGGTACAGCAGGAATTCATCAGTGAATGATTTGCACACTGTATAACAAAAAAATGTTCCTGGGTAATAAGTGTTATTTCCTAATTGCTTATTCCTCAAAAGTACAGAAAATGGCTAATATTCCCCACAAACTTTTATTCTGGGACCAGGACATTGATATTTTGAAATTGAACTATTTTCAATGAGAAAAACGTGTGCATTTGTGTCTTTCGTTTAAGTCAAGTCCTGGTCACAAAAGCAAAGTTTGTGAGGAATAATAGCCATTTTCTATACTTTTTAAGCATAAGCAATAAAAAAATAATAACACTTAGTACCCAGGAGCAAAAATTGTGTTACATTGTGAATCTTTAAAGATCTGGCAGTGGTCTATTGACAAGGAAAATGAATCGATCATTCAATCTGGCACATGCATTTTACCATTTTTATATCTCTACAATAAGTTGATCCACGATGCGACAGAAGCATTGGATGTCGTACTGAAATCAGTGCCAACAAATTGTTTCTTCTTTTGTGCACGGCTCTCTTTATAGCCAGGTGTTGCGAGACCTCTGGCCACTGTTTCAAATTACTTAAGCCTGTCACATCGTTTGTCTAAAAAGTGGTGCAAAAGTGCATCACAATGGTGCACAAGTCAATCCCAGCCTCCTGCAGACCTTTGTTTACAATGTTTGTCTTTTGAAAAACATTTCAAATGGTAATAACGTGGGTAGTACCAACTGTAGAAAGTTATTACTGAAGGCCTACGAAACAGAAGTGCCTAGGGGCCTACAAGAACCTTAATCCAGCCCTGAGTTATATAGCTCTTTTTTAGAAGCAACCTGGCCACAAATGATAGCTGAACGAAGTGACTTATTATAGATAGCTGCCAAATACTCTTAACTGCCATTGAGACGCTGAATGTCGAAAACCTTTCCGGAATATGCTTTTCTTGAATCACTGCTGCAGATAAGGTGCACTCCCAGAATGCCGTGCGGCTGTGGGGTTATGTAAATATTTTTTGTAACATGGTGAGGCAAACATGGGAAGGAGGCGTGCGTGATATAATTAATTGTGAAAAAAATTTGATTAGGCCATTAGCCTTTCTGGCAATAAAACAGGAGGTGTTAAGATGTTCAAACACCAAATAAATACCTTTTGCAAGGCATCAAGTCTGCATTAACCACACGTACTTGTGGTGAACATGCAAACAAACATGCTCTCATAATATACGGGTTGGTGTCCCGTTCGCTGATAAATATTGGAACACGCCAGCGGCTCGGCATTAATTTTATTTAGAGACGCATAGCGCAGCTGTATTTAAACACATTGCTCTCACCACAAAGAACTGTAGCGACACGACTGCGCACTCTATGGTAGCTGGCATCAAACTGTGCCACATGCCCTCCCGCATGGCCTTGCGGGAGCCTTGGTACCAATGAAGTTATTTAATTTTGGTTTAATTCGGGATTATTTTATAATGACGTACACACGTAGTACGTCATCGGGACGGGAAAGGGTCAATAAAAGTATGCGTGGCTGGGGTGGGTGTTGTTGCTGATGTGCACGGCGTGCCACGTTGCTGCGCTGTGTCCCCGCCGCCCGCGGCCCCCGCCTAGACCACGTGGTACGAGTTCCGCGTGCTCGTGGTGGCTGATGACGGCATCAGCGAGCCCACCAACACGGTCACCGTGTGGATGGCAGGTGGGTGGTGCGCGCGACGCATGGGGGACGGCCACCGTTAACCGCGATCCCCCTCGCTGGCTGCCGATCGCGAGACGCCTTGCCAGTGCTCGCTCAATGCGTAAGCAACGAGTGGAAAGAGAGACGCGTCCACAAACCAATTGAATCTAAACTTTTTTTAAATTTTACCAGGTAAGGCACTACTGAGCTGTATTGCTCCTTTCAAGAAGCGATCTGGCCTCAAATGATAGCTCAACGAAGTGGCTTAACATGTGGAAATTTGCAGCAGCAACTAATATTCTGAGCGCGTGATGTTGATTCTAAATGTGGAGGGAAAAACCGGAGGACCCGGAGAAATATGCACGTGACCACGGGGAGAGAGACATGCAAACTTCACATATACAGGCGTCAGGGTCAGGATCGAACCTACGACCTCCTGTGTACCAGGCGAGGTAGTTAACATCTGGCCACCATGGTGGTCTTTTAAGCTGGACTTAATTAACTTACTGACCACGCCCATGCTGGACATCTGTGAAAAAGAGCTTCAGATTCCTCCTACAGTCAAAATAAAGATTATTTTTTCATTATGAGACCTCCTTTGCCAGAAACAAGATATAGGAATAGGTTTTACCCTTTTAACTGGCACAAAAACTGACACCTTTATTCAAGGCATCATGTTTGCAATAACCACAACACAAGCAGTCAAAATGCAAACAAAAAAAAGACAACTCTGATGATAATATACACTGTCCTTGAATTTGATTGGTCCACACCCGAGACAGCTTTTCTTAGAGCCTAGTATCCATTGGTGTTGGACCAGAAGACGCCAAAAGGCGTACAACTCAAGAACAGCGCACTATCCGAGTATTGAGGGCTCAGGGTGAGCATTTACATTATGAGACCTCCTTTGCCAGAAACAAGATATAGGAATAGGTTTTACACTTTTAACTGGCACAAAAACTGACACCTTTATTCAAGGCATCATGTTTGCAATAACCACAACACAAGCAGTCAAAATGCAAACAAAAAAAACTCAGATAATAATATGCACTGTCCTTGAATTTGATTGGTCCACACCCGAGACAGCTTTTCTTAGAGCCTAGTCTCCATTGGTGTTGGACCAGAAGATGCCAAAAGGCGTACAACTCAAAAACAGCGCACTATCAGAGTATTGAGGGCTCGGGGTGAGCATTTACATTATGAGACCTCCTTTGCCAGAAACAAGATATAGGAATAGGTTTTACCCTTTTAACTGGCACAAAAACTGACACCTTTATTCAAGGCATCATGTTTGCAATAACCACAACACAAGCAGTCAAAATGCAAACAAAAAAAGATAACTCTGATAATAATATGCACTGTCCTTGAATTTGATTGGTCCACACCCGAGACAGCTTTTCTTAGAGCCCTCAATACTCTGATAGTGCGCTGTTTTTGAGTTGTACGCCTTTTGGCATCTTCTGGTCCAACACCAATGGAGACTAGGCTCTAAGAAAAGCTGTCTCGGGTGTGGACCAATCAAATTCAAGGACAGTGCATATTATTATCAGAGTTGTCTTTTTTTCGTTTGCATTTTGACTGCTTGTGTTGTGGTTATTGCAAACATGATGCCTTGAATAAAGGTGTCAGTTTTTGTGCCAGTTAGAAGGGTTAAACCTATTCCTATATCTTGTTTCTGGCAAAGGAGGTCTCATAATGTAAATGCTCACCCCGAGCCCTCAATACTCTGATAGTGTGCTGTTTTTGAGTTGTACGCCTTTTGGCGTCTTCTGGTCCAACACCAATGGATACTAGGCTCTAAGAAAAGCTGTCTCGGGTGTGGACCAATCAAATTCAAGGACAGTGCATATTATCATCAGAGTTGTCTCTTTTTGTTTGCATTTTAACTGCTTGTGTTGTGGTTATTGCAAACATGATGCCTTGAATAAAGGTGTCAGTTTTTGTGCCAGTTAAAAGGGTAAAACCTATTCCTATAAAGATTCTTATTCAGATGCCGGAATCTACCGTAAGCCAGGAAGGGCTGTGGGGCGCGCCGACGAAGCAGCGAGGGGTTGAGACGCGCAGTCACTTTGTGGTGAGACCGCGAGCATCGTCCGTCCCCGCGTGGTGGTGGTGGTGGTGTTGGTGGGGGGCGGGAGACTCGGCGCTCATCTTGAATATAGGAATTCAAGATGCCCCCGACCACACTCATGAATTCGATTTGCCGTGCGCTTGTGCGTGAGCGGCTCACTTTTAAACCGCGATGCAGCAGCACAGGCCAAGGGTTAGCGCAATTGCCACCCATTTGCAGGGGTGGTTTGCCGTTCGAACCCGATGGCCGCCCCAGTTAATACTGCCGGTTTGTTATCCATAATATTGGGACTGTCTGCATCACAGCGGACTTTTAAGATCCCGTGGAAAAAAGGACATTGTAATAATAATTTCTATTCAAAAAGCGCCTTTAAGCACTTGTTCACAGGGTGCTTTTTTAAAGCTTCGGCACAATGGCCAAGGTCCAAATTAAAAAATGTATTGCTCTTAACTTAATTGGAGTGACATAGCAAACATTGGCCCCTCCTTGGAGACAAATGCCCACCGGCTGGCCGGTGCTGCGTGTCACCTCGCGCCATGTGGCGGGGACAGCTGCCATCGGACCCACCGCCCCCCCACCCTCCACAGATTAAAACTACAGCCGGACTCGGACTTTGGAACGATTGAGAAAAGAGGTGTTGTCAATGGTTTTGACACGCTGGGGCATTTTAAGCGCCAAACCGGTTGCGTGGTTGTTTCTTTGCCTGAATGTATTTGCCGCATTTGCACCGCCCTGGCCCCGACGTTGGTCCCGCAGGGGCGTTGTCCCCCACACGGCCTGCTCTGGAAGTGCCTCAGCCGATCCTTGCCGGGGTCATCGCCGGCATCTGCTTCCTGGCCATCGCGGTCCTCTTCAGCACCGTGGCGGCGTGCCTCATCAGCCGGCAGCGGCGCTCCCAGCGGCCCGGTGTGCAGCCACACGCCCACAATCGCATCGCACACGCGTTATCCTGACTCACGCACGCATTAACTCATGCACGCACATGCGTGATTCTAAGTTTGCCCAAGGCTTTTTTGTCCTTCCCCCGCACCTCCGGTTTGCACGGTTGGCTATGTACGGTGCAAAAGAAGTTTAACATACATACATACATGCATTTACCAGCTTTTGGTTGTTTTCACTGCCAGATGCCACGCGTTTGTAGTCAGGATTCTACATTCCTCTGGACGTGTGTACCCGTTTTATTTCAGAAAGTCATCGAGAATGCAGAAAAGAACGGCAGTTGAATTTACGCTCGTATGACAAGACGGTTCGAGCACGGCGGACTTTGCAATCCCCCCATAACGGCCCTTGACAAAGTGGACAGTGGCAGCCATCGACCCCTTCTCGGCTAGAGACGATGGGTCCCACGCAGTGCGAGGGCAGCGGGTGTAGCCACTGATGCAAAGTAACCCGGCACACTCAGGGAAACTTTGCCACAGCATGGCGGGGGGGGGGGGGGGGGTCGGGGGAAATGCTGAGCCGAAGCCAATAAACGTGATAAGGAAATCCAGTGATCATTGACGTCCTCACGCTGGTGAGGTGAAACATTTTATTTGAGAAGTGAAGGCAGTCTGCTGTTAGAATTGATCTTCCTGCTAGAAACCCAAACTAAAGTGCGATTTATCACCAAATCAAATGTCATTATTATTACTACAATGCTCGTTTACCCACGAAAGCCTCATTGAGTCTCCAGTCTTGCTAAGTTTTCACGCTAGGGGGGCAATGTTCCTGCTGCTGTGTGTGATCCCAATGGAGTAATTTGCAGGTAATTTTTCAGAATTGAGATATTTTGGCCAATCCCGGTTCAAATGTGTGTTTTAGCTATGGGAGGAAACCCATGCAAAACAGGGGGAGAACATACAATCTTTACACAGAAAGGCGGCGCCGTAGTAGGGAATTGAACCAAGGCCCTTCTTTCTGAGGGTAACCATTACTCCACCGACCTACTACAAATTCACATTTTAAAAGGTTTGCTTTTACACTTGATACGTGTATGTGCAGAAACAGCCTGGAGATGTCGCAGCTTTTACAAAAACGGAAATGGACGAATTCAACGTTTCCCCACTACCACGGCTGCACACCTTCCGCCAGTGTCTCCACACGTGGCTTTGATGTTTAAATCGACGTCTGTGTGCTTTTGCACTTGTGTAACGATGAAACACTCGCTTCTTATGAATACACGTGGCCACACCACGTACAGAGCCAAAGTGTCAAAGTGATTTCCTGCTCAAGATGAGCATGGAGGCGGTGCTCGGCTCCTGTTACAGCCCTGAGCCAGAGGAAATTCAACCTATCTACGGTGGGGACCAGTTTATCCATCGGACAGCCACTGTTGACTTCCGCACAAAGTGGTGCATTATGTTATCGACCCCCAAACAGATGATGATGATGGTCTGAGTAAAGTATAAGCACACCGCATAGCGTGCCGTTGCGCAGCAAAACGTACCACACACCGATAAACAAGGGGGCTTCCTCTGGGCCTCTCATGTCGTGGATCTTCGATTTGAGTTCCCATCTCATCCGTTGTCAACCCATGCAGGAGAATGAGGTGAACGCCGAGTGCAGAATCATTCTTTGAATGACCGTGACCTCTGACCTACACCGCTTACCGTTGCTCGTGGTGCCTCCACGGTTAGAACATTTGTGGTTGCTTTTCCACGACTCAACCGAGCAGTTATTTTGCCTTAACATTTTTGGAACTTTCAAACGGTGAGAACGATTTGGCTGTCACCCTAAACGCTGGCCGGAGTCTCGTTGTTTGGTCAGATTTATGTCCATGGGCTTCCGAAAATAAAAAAAAACAACTCTCCTGAGAGCCATTACACACGATCTCTTTTTTTTTTACTATTTACTTATTTTCATTTTTACTTTTTTTATAAGGTAAGGACCACTGAGCTGTATAGCTTAATTTTGGAAGCCACCTGGCTATTACAAATGTAATGGTTGACTTTGACGCGGACAACTTTATTATTTTCTCCGACACCACTTTTATTACAACTCTTCACATTACGTCTGCGAGACAGGCTCGCCGTGCTCCGCCTGTCCCTCTCCGTCGCTCGCTGTCTCCGTCCCTCTCCGTCGCTCACTGTCTCCGTCCCTCTCCATCGCTCGCTGTCTCCGTCCCTCTCCGTCGCTCGCTGTCTCCGTCCCTCTCTCTCCCGCTGCTCTGCTTGTCTCTGCTCCACTGCTAGCCTGTTCTGTCTCCTATGTCTTCGCTCCGGTTCTCCCCGACCTGCTTCTTTCTTCCCGTCTCCCGAATATTTCCCCGTTCTCATTACCAACCAATTAATTAGGCCGCGTGCCACCGACGCCCCGCGACCCCCCCCCCCCGCACCTGTTACTTGCCCCCTCTATTACCAGACATTCCGGCGCCACTCCGCCCTTGACAACAACCCCGGCCAATCACAGCCATACATCGCTTACCAACTTAATTGGCCCGTCATTACTTCACAGTTCCCTGCCGCCGCACCTGGCCGGCCCGACGTGACCCCACTGTCCATAACTCGCGCGTCCTTACCATCCACCCTGTTATGCGTGTGTTAATCCACTACACAAATAATAGCTCAACGGAGTGGTTTATCATCATGTGGAAATGTATAGCAGCCAAATAGTCTAAATGCACGATGATTCCAAATGAGGAGGGAAAAGCCAGATGATCCGGCAAAAATTCCACGCCACCACGGGAGAGAGATTAAGAGACACACAAAATCCAAATATAAAAGCATCAGGGTTGGGATCAAACCCACGACCTCCTGTATACAGTGAGGGAAAAAAGTATTTGATCCCCTGCTGATTTTGTACGTTTGCCCACTGACAAAGCAATGATCAGTCTATAATTTTAATGATAGGTTTATTTCAACAGTGAGAGACAATAACAACAATAAAATCCATAAAACCGCATGTCAAAAATGTTATAAATTGATTTGCATTTTAATGAGGGAAATAAGTATTTGACCCCCTCTCAATCAGAAAGATTTCTGGCTCCCAGGTGTCTTTTATACAGGTAACGAGCTGAGATTAGGAGCACACTCTTAAAGGGAGTGCTCCTAATCTCAGCTTGTTACCTGTATAAAAGACACCTGTCCACAGAAGCAATCAATCAATCAGATTCCAAACTCTCCACCATGGCCAAGACCAAAGAGCTCTCCAAGGATGTCAGGGACATGATTGTTGACATACACAAGGCTGGAATGGGCTACAAGACCATTGCCAAGCAGCTTGGTGAGAAGGTGACAACATATTCTTAGCTCTTTCGGTAAAGTCACGTTGAAGGGAAACAATAAAATAATAAAATATATATAAAACAATAAAAATTCTCACGACGTTTCGACCATAACACAAACGGTCGTCATCACACACCTGATGACGACCGTTTGTGTTATGGTCGAAAAGTCGTGAGAATTTTTATTGTTTTATATATATTATTATTTTATTGTTTCCCTTCAACGTGACTTTACCGAAAGAGCTAAGAATATGAATTACTGCAGTCACGAAAGCTTTAAATCAAAGGTGACAACAATTGGTGCGATTATTCGCAAATGGAAGAAACACAAAAGAACTGTCAATCTCCCTCGGCCTGGGGCTCCATGCAAGATCTCACCTTGTGGAGTTGCAATGATCACGAGAACGGTGAGGAATCAGCCCAGAACTACATGGGAGGATCTTGTCAATGATCTCAAGGCAGCTGGGACCATAGTCACCAAGAAAACAGTTGGTAACACACTACACCGTGAAGGACTGAAATCCTGCAGCGCCCGCAAGGTCCCCCTGCTCAAGAAAGCACATATACATACCCGTCTGAAGTTTGCCAATGAACATCTGAATGATTCAGAGGACAACTGGGTGAAAGTGTTGTTGTCAGATGAGACCAAAATGGAGCTCTTTGGCATCAACTCAACTCGCCGTGTTTGGAGGAGGAAGAATGCTGCCTATGACCCCAAGAACACCATCCCCACCATCAAACATGGAGGTGGAAACATGCTTTGGGGGTGTTTTTCTGCTAAAGGGACAGGACAACTTCACCACATCAAAGAGACGATGGGCGGGGCCATGTACCGTCAAATCTTGGGTGAGAACCTCCTTCCCTCAGCCAGAGCATTGAAAATGGGTCGTGGAAGGGTATTCCAGCATGACAATGACCCAAAACACACGGCCAAGGCAACAAAGGAGTTGCTCAAGAAGAAGCACATTAAGGTCCTGGAGTGGCCTAACCAGGCTCTAGACCTTAATCCCATAGAAAATCTGTGGAGGGATCTGAAGGTTCGAGTTGCCAAATGTCTGCCTCGAAACCTTAATGACTTGGAGAAGATCTGCAAAGAGGAGTGGGACAAAATCCCTCCTAAGATATGTGCAAACCTGGTGGCCAACTACAAGAAACGTCTGACCTCTGTAATTGCCAACAAGGGTTTTGCCACTAAGTACTAAGTCATGTTTTGCAGAGGGGTCAAATACTTATTTCCCTCATTAAAATGCAAATCAATTTAGAACATTTTTGACATGCGTTTTTCTGGATTTTGTTGTTGTTATTCTGTCTCTCACTGTTCAAATAAACCTACCATTAAAATTATAGACTGATAATTTCTTTGTCAGTGGGCTAACGTACAAAATCAGCAGGGGATCAAATATTTTTTCCCTCACTGTACCAAGCAAGGTAGTTAACATTTCGCCACCATGGCACCCCCTCTGTGATGTCCGCTGCATGGGGCGCTTCCATCGCGGCCAGCGCCTCACGTCGAGACTCAACCGTTACCGTGCCGCGCCGCGGTCTAGCCTAGGGGGACCCCCCGGTGGAAGCCGCCTCTGTGCGGCGCAGAGTGAATGCAGTACCTGACCTGAAAAGTGGGCTTTCGTCTGCCCGCAGGGAGACGATGTTCCCACGTGTTTTTTTTTCTTTCCTTTATTCGATAATTTACGAGATAAGTGGTCAAATTTGGTCCCTGACACCAACACGCGATGACCAACTTTTTTTCCAGTGACATCGGCGGTACCGTTAACCACGTCCACTGCGGAGCGAGGTGACTGGCATCGCATTCACCCGTTCGTGTGCACGCAGCATTAACCAAGGTGGTCACGGGGGTGCTTAAACTGCAAATCTCTACTGGACCATGTTGAAACAGAGAAGAAGGGAAGGGGAGAGGGGAGAAAGGGGAGAGCCCTTCTCAGGCTTTGCAGGGCCCGAATGCGCCTATCAGTGCAGAGCAGCGGAGTTATCTGTCAACCAACCGGGGGTGCAGTGGAGGGGGGATATAAAAGAATGTGTTCATCACATTCTCGATCCGTAAATAGAGGAAGCCCTGCCCATGCCGTGTCGTTCATGGGAGCAGTTTGACCATGCTTCACCACGCGAGTCGGTGCGGGGTTGTTGAAGGGACACAGGGCAGGCACCGGTATGTACACGTGGTTGTCCTGAGATATGTTGCGGTTTGACACTGGACGACCTCAACGAACATTGGTAAAGACATGATATCGTTTTTTGTTGGGTTAGTTCGCGTAAATATGAATGTGTTGTTAAACCCGTCACCACCCAACACAGGTGATTAGTAAAGGTTTGTCATATAAACAAAACATGCCCAATTAGTTGCTAGTTCAGCACACCGGTTGTGTTCGAAAGTAAACCCACAACATTTACAATTCAACACACTGCTGTGCAGTGGCGGACATTAAAACAAAATCCCTGCTGCGCAGTTTGAAAAAGAAGTAGGCCATCGTGTGTCGGCTTCACGTCCAAATTAGAAAAACAACACCTCAGCTTAACTGGATTGGCTTTACGTACAGCAACCATCACCACCGCCCTCTTCTGTGACGTCACGCTGACCGTGTTCATTAAACGCTGAGACGTCTTCGTGGTAGCCTCGCGCTGCTAAGAATGGCAGTGCGAATGCCAAAAGTGTACTATCAGCTGTCAGTGGGCAACTCTTTGAACTTCTCTCGCAAGAATGTGGTGGGCGAGGTCGAGACTGCGCGTAACCGGTGCCTGTTGTTGTCCGTTCCAGTGCCTCACCTCTCCATCACCCACTGTAAGAAGAGGACAGAATCTGAGTGAGTGGAACGCACGATCCTCACCGCTGGTATTGGAGGCCCAGGGGCCCGTTGCGTTGTGACACCTCGAGTGAACGTTGCCGTCGATTTAAATGACAAAATAATAGCCATCTCTACACAAAAATATTTTTTTCAAACAGCCCATCGGCCAGACAGCCTTCCTTGGCGGGAGTGCTTAATTTTAGCAGCGAGCACTCGTGACCGGTTGTCATCAGTCAGCGTCTCGGCAACGCCAACGATGATTCTGAATTAGATCGGAAGCCCGGGGAGTGTTCCACCGGAGTTGTTTGGCGCAACCGGTCACGGGCCTGGACACCGCGAGCCTGCCCTGGCCCCGCTACGGCACGAGTTTTATACAAGTCATGTTGCATGGCCCTTCAACCCCTGTTGTCGGTCTAACGCGTGGTGTACCGCTTGCTAACCGTGGTGTACCGGCCCCTAACCGTGGTGTACCAGCCACTAACCATGTTGTACCAGCCCCTAACCGTGGTATAGCGGTCGCTAACCAGGGTGTACCAGCCACTAACTATGGTGTACCGGCCGCTAACCAGGGTGTACCAGCCGCTTCACCAGAGTGTAACTGGTCGTTAACCATGGTGTACCGGCCCCTAACCATCGTGTACCGGCCGCTAACCACGGTGTACCTACCACTAACCATGGTGTACCGGCTACTGTGATGTACCTACCGCTAATCACGATGTACCTACCGCTAATCACGGTGTACCTACTGCTAACCACGGTGTACTGGCCGCTAACCACGGTGTACCTACCACTAACCATGGTGTACCGGCTGCTGTGATGTACCTACCGCTAACCATGGTGTACCTACCACTAACCACGGTGTACCGGCCGCTAACCACGGTGTACCTACCACTAACCATGGTGTACTGGCCGCTAACCATGGTGTAGCGGCCGCTAACCATGGTGTAGCAGCCGCTAACCATGGTGTACCTGCCGCTAATCATTGTGTGACGATGGGTACTCAACTCTGGCGTCACTTCACAATTACCTCCACCATGGTGAAATATGGGGCAGGACGGTCAGCCCCACAATGCAGTGTAGTGCAGAGATACCCACGGACCAGGCTTTTAAGGGCCGAAGTAATTGTACTTCTTTTCTTATGCTTGGTTACAGACAGTAGAAGGAGAAGTGTGCAGCCCCCGCACCCCACTAATAGGGCCCCAAACCCCCTGAATTCACAAATCAACAGAAACACACGGCTCACTCTCAAAAACACTTGCACCTATGACCCTACACAATCCCACCACGCACACACACCACACATACCAGATCAGTAGTGGCGGTCGTTATGCCGTTTCACTATTTTATACACAGCACCAAAACCTATTCCACTGTCCACACACACTGTAGACAGCCCGTGGATATCCCCGAATAGCCACACCGCATTTAAATCCATGGGATGAGGAAACTAGCAGTGAGATATTAGGCATCGGTCCCAGAGGCCTTCAGTAGGCTGGATCAAGATTCCTGCCTTCTCCCTTCCGATCCTCACTCCAGACCTTGGGCCTTTGGTCCCACCCCAGAGTGAGCTGCCTTGCTCGCTCAGCTCACTGCTGCTGCTGGTGCTGCTTTTGCTGCTTCTGGTGCTGCTGCTTATTATTCTTCTGCTGGTGCTGCTCTAACAGCCAGCCCCTTTCATACTGGAAGATAATTCCAGGCTCTTCTCTCCAGTATCCCCAACACCGCTTCACCTCCTGTATCATCATTCGATGCCATTGTGAACCCCATTATATTGTATTTGTGACACAAGGTGTACCTTCCGCTAACTACGCTAACCACAGTGTACCTACCGCTAACCATGAGCTACTGGCCGCTAACCACACATTAATTATTAAAAGGTAAAGGCGCAGTCCTGTAATTTCTTGGTACGGTCGCTGCTGGCGGAAGTGCCTCCACCCCGGGAGAGGTCACGTAAGCCTCTATGACAGTTGGGGTTAAACCACTACGGTGCGATGAACGCCCAAGTCGCGAATGAGAAGACGTATGCTCGCAGTTATTTCTCCTGTCCATTGTGCGGGTCGCGGTTGTTGGTCCTAACCACCGGGTGCCCTGTACGTCTCTCTGTACGACCAACCTTCACCACCACCACCGTGTCGCACAGTGTGTGAGCGGCACGCACCAGCACACTGCTCTCCCCCTGTTCTACACGGGTTTCCTCTGTGTGCTACGGTTCCCTCCAGGAGTAAAAAAAAAACACTCGCTATAGAAGTGCTAATAGTCAAACATCCCAACGCTGACAAATCACCTGCAAATTACTCAATTGGGATTGAACACGAAACAACATCCCCCCCTACAGCAGTAACTTGGCAGGACCCTCGGTTGGCTACAAACGGTGTGAAATAAGTTCAATAAAGATTCTCAAGACTATTTGCCAGGAGGTTTTCCTAGGTAAAGAAACGCAATAAATAAAAATAATCACCGGTGGTCATTAACCACTGTCACGCATTAACTGTCACACAAACTCCGGTCATCCGCGCAGCAGCAGCGGCTTTTAGCTAATCATCGAACAAGGGCGGCCACTGCATTGCACGCTTTCAGATGCAATTCTGCGGCCGTCTGGAATGCTCTTCCTTCCGATATTAGGAAGCCGCTGGAGCTATGCACTTTTACATCTAGATTGAAAACTAATTTCTTTATAACTGCTTTTTGTGTTTAGTTTGTTGTACTTCCCCCGGAACCTCTGAATCGCACAGTTGTCTAAGTACGGTGCAAAAGAAGTCAACATTTCTACATACAAAGACAAATCGTGTTCTTCATGCATTTCACCGGTCGAAAAACTCTTGGTGCTGATCTTATCTGATAAATCCCAGGTGCAACTGTCAAACAAACAGCCCAGACACCCATGTGAATGGCTTGCCTATGCAATGTGTTGATTGTGGCGTTTTGAAAAATACCGAATGTTGTTGGAACAACAAAAATAACTGCGATTGAACGGCGCTTTTTTGTCTCGAACATTGAGCCAATTTTAATAGAACAAATGGGTGGCAAATGTGATTAATGTAAGAAAAAATAATTATATTTCCGTCACATCCCTTTACTTCTATCACGGAAGAGGTGCCTGATAATGCCGTGGCCAGTGGAGGTGACGAGACACGGGCCTTCCCCTGCATCGTGCCCCAACACACCGGCGCCACCTGTGATTTGCGTGCCATATTTAATCGTGTGCCGTCGCTCTCTACTTGAATCTCGTGGTGCTTAAGTCAAGACTGAAGTGCAATGCAATTTAGATGTCGAGCAGCTTGATGTTGTCGAGCGACTAGCTATCAGCATGGCCAGTGTGCGTCGGGAGTCGGGGGCGACTGGTGTCTTAGGGTGTGGCTGCAGGTGTGGGAGGTGCAGCAAGTTGGCCCCTGCCTGTAGGTTTGTGAGCAGCAGGTCGGCCCCTGCCTGTAGGTGCCTGAGCAGCAGGTCGGCCCCTGCCTGTAGGTGCCTGAGCAGCAGGTCGGCCCCTGCCTGTAGGTGCCTGAGCAGCAGGTCGGCCCCTGCCTGTAGGTGCCTGAGCAGCAGGTCGGCCCCTGCCTGTAGGTGCCTGAGCAGCAGGTCGGCCCCTGCCTGTAGGTGCCTGAGCAGCAGGTCGGCCCCTGCCCTCTGTCAAAGGGAAGGGGAGTGGACGTCTCTTACCAGCAGAGGTGCTGAGGACAGTGCTAGCGCTGGTGAATTATATGCAATTCGTGAGGGCTCGGGGCACTGAGATAAGGTTCAAGGCAACGTAATTTGAATGTAAGCAGCGTCTGGACACGGCATCTGGAGACGTGTGTAGATTGCATTACAATGGGAGAGCACCTTTGCTCAGAGAGCACATTGCACATGCATGTGAGAGAAGCCTGTGTGACGCCGATGATTGTGGATTGATTTAAAAAATTGTTGCTTACTTGGTGCTTCCTTTGATGATACGGTAACAGTGTCAATCGCACTGCGGTGTGACAACGGTGAAGATGACGTGCACATGTTTCACTTATCGTGTTACGAATAAACCATTGTTTTTTGCTACATGCTCTTTCGTGTTGCCGAATGTGACGTGGTTCGGGATGCCGTTTGACCCTCGGACAGACGCACGGACAGACACTCGGACAGACATGCGGCGGCGACGGCGACACTGTCGAAGGGCTCGCCGTCTCTTGAATCCCCCCCCTCCCGCCTTACTACGCAGAAACGTTCCAACAGGGAACGCACGACCCTGCGTGCCTGGCGACTTGCAGCAGCAAGCTCTACGTGAGCCAGCCCGCTAGAGCCAGCCCGTTACAGCCAGGCCGCTAGAGCTAGACCGTGTGAACCAGGCCGTGTGAGCCAGGCCGCTAGAGCCAGAGCCAGGCCGCGTGAGCTCGCCCACTAGAGCCAGGCCGTGTGGGCTAGCCCACTAGAGCCAGCCCGCTAGAGCCAGGCCGCTAAAGCCAGCCCTCTAGAGCCAGGCCGCATGAGCTAGCCCACTAGAGCCAGGCGCTAGAGCCAGGCGCTAGAGCCAGCCCGCTAGAGCCAGGCCGCGTCAGCCAAACTGCTAGAACCAGCCCGCATGAGCCAGTCTGCTAGAGCCAGGCCACGTGAGCCAGCCCGCTCAGCCAGGCCGTGTGCTTGCCTCGGAGGTCACAGCGCTGAGCCAGTAGTGTGACAGTTGGCGAGATGTTAACTACCTCGTCCTTGGTATGCAGCAGGTCGAGGGTTCGATCCCGACCCTGACGGCTGCTGTATATTTGGAGTTTGCGTGTGTCTCTCCCAGTGGTCGCGTAGATTTTTCTTCGGATCCTCTGGTTCTCCCTACACATTTAGAATCGATGTTGTGTGTTTCGAGTATTTGGCTGCTATAAATTTCCACATGATGAGCCACTTCGTTGGGACATCGTTTGTGGCTAGGTCGCTGTTGAAAAAGAGCTGACTTGCTCAGTGCGTCTTTTCTGGTAAAATAAAAAAAAGTTTATATCCCCGGGGTTCAAATCCAGGCAGCTGGCTGTGGTGAAACCGGCTTCTAGAGTCTAGGGAATGGTTGGCTTCGGTGCAGTCACCACACAAAGGGCCCCACACCAACTTTGTTACCCACACTTAAAACTTGCCTGAATTACAACCCTGAAAATTAAATATCGGTTTAACTGTCGCACGACGACCATTGCTCTTGTACGGTTAGAGCGAGTGGGGAAATGCTGCCCCCCTAACCATGTGTGTAGTTCTGCGATATCCATTTCTGTGGGCCATTTTCTTGCGCAAATTTAGTTGCGCTGCTCCACGAGAGTTCCAGACGGCTTCTTTGTCTCATGGCACGATGCTCACAGCACAATCTGGATTCAGTGTTGGGAAAATAACAAAATAAATTAGCAAGTATTGCTTTAGAATGCGTGTGACCAGTGGATCTATCTCTATGTGCCACGAGATTAGCCCGCCTTCCTCCAACACTATGAGCTCCATCGTGAATGAGGAGGCATCTCCTCTAATCCCCCTCCAAAATCACTGTGTAGGTGCTGGGGGGCCCAGAACCAGTAAAACTGCGATATCCGATGCAGTGTGATCCTCACGCACAGCGTAACATTGTCCCTGTACTTCACTCACGAACGAAGTCAACCGTGTCAGCTGTTGGCAAGTTATTCGATGGCAAATAAATATTTTTTTGGGTCTGGCTATTAAATGATCTGGCTGGTTGATTTTGAACACTCCACATTAAGCCGCTGGAGCTGTGCACTTTTAAACCTAGATTTAAAACTAATTTCTTTAGACACTTTTTGTGTTTAGTTTGTTCTCCTTCCCCCCTCCCCCCGCAGCTCCGATTAGCACAGTTGGCTACGTACGGTGTGAAAGGAGTTCAACACATGTACATCACTGTTTAATTTATCTGGGCCAATGGTGAGCACAGTTGGCGTGTTAGCACTCTTACACCACGTGGCAATTCAATTAATTTGGCCGTGTCGGGTGGCGGAGGGTTACACAACAGCGTATGAGTCATAATATCGGCGGCAATGGCGCGTTTCGTTATTCTGCCATTTACTCGGACATCGTGAGCCGGAGGTGGTCGACTCCACTCCTCGCCTGCGCACGGTGAGGCATTGTCAATCCCACTCACACCGTCGGTTTGTATCTCCCATTTGGTCTTTGTTTTCAACGTTTGATTTTTTAATTGAGAATATTTTTTCAAACATCTGTTTAATTTAATTATAATCTTAGTTTGTCGTTTAAAGTTCAATCTGGTATGTTTTAGGTTATTTTTGAAGCTGCACGCTATATTGTTTGATTTGCCGAACTTTTATTGCCGCCTGCAATGTGTGTTACCTATCACGCAGGTCTCGCCTGGTTATAGCTCCTCGCGATCCCTCTTGTACCCTCCCGACCATAACGGGAAAAAAACTCAACACGTATAATAAGAAAAAACATAATAGGCGACGTTATAGGCAATGGCCCTACTTCACAGCACATAGAAGAGGCCCAAGAGGTTAAAATCGAAAGTATGGAAACGCCTCGCAGGCAGACAGCAAATATGGCCTGATACCACAAGCGTTTGGGGGGGGGGGGGGGGGGGGATAGAGGAGACCCCTTCAGGAGTCGCCATCCCCGGGCAGGCGTCGCTGCAAGCGTCATAGTCAGGGACCCCACCCCCACCTCCCCCCATAGGCCATCGGTAGGCCCGGAGCCTACATCCGCACAGAACGGACGGGCGACCTCCGTTGACCTCGCAAACCGCGTGCCGTCTGCAGGTCTTCTCTGGACAAAGCGAACGGAGCAGACCGGACACGCGCCGGCTCGCGGGAATCTCGCGCGGGTCTCGAGACGGACGATGACGACAACGACCAGGAGCCGTTCGGCGAGGCCATGGGGGCGGCCGCGGCGGCCCTGGCGTCCGCCGACGGCTACGCCAGGGCAGAGGGGGCGGGTGGGCCTGGCGACGGGCGGCACGCCGGCGGGCCGAAGTTGTCGCTCTACGAGAAGCTGACGCGCGGCTCCGGCCACGGCCGCTACAGCGTCTCCAAGCACGAACGCGACGCGCGACCCATCGAGCTCATCAGCCGCGGGCCCGACGGGCGCTTCACGGTGGACGGCGAGGAGGTGGAGGAGGTGCCGCCGTCGCGGCGAGCCGAAACGCAGGACGAGCGGAGTCCGCGGTCCGAGCGGAGGATCCGGGGCTTCCCATTTGTCCGCGACATGGAGATGTACCCGGAGTTCCAGCACTCGGACATGGAAGGGGAGGCAGCGGCGGCTATGGGGGGTAGGGGTCTCCCTCCCTCCTCTCCCTCTCTACAGCTTCCCAGTCAGCAGTAGAAATGGGAAAACCGCAGTCGATCAGCAGGTCGCGTGTAGTGGGCCAAAGCATTGGGTATGTCACACCTCTTACAAAGTAGGCCAATTACCCTCTAGAGGGGCTCTCTCCAGGGGGTTCCACTAGTGGAGGCCGTTCTGCCAAAAGTGGCATGAGCAAACAATTGACACTTGCAGGGCTGCACCTTCACCTTATTATCTTTTGTCAGAAATCGGCCAAAGATTATTTGCCTGCGAAGCTCTCCTCCCAAGCGCGAATTTACTTGTCCACGGCCTCGTCCCTCCACGTCGTTTCAGACAGGAAGCGGTGTGGTGCTGTGCGGTGCAGAATCAAATGACCACATTCACGAGGGGTCGCGGCGGCGATGGATGTGTGCGATGGACGTGTGCCAACTGGCCACCGCGTGTGCCCGCCAGGACCGCCGCACGGCTCGCAGTTCGGCCGGGAGGTGAGCGGCACGTCCAGTCGCTCGCCATACGCCCACCGCGCTGATGCTGGGAGGTCAAAGGGCATGGAAGCAAGGCACCCCAGGGGTCAAGGGGAGGATTCGAGGTTCCTCTATGGCATCGGAGCGCAAAGGCAGCCGGTACGCACCTCGCCCCCACCGCACGGCTTCTCGTGCGCAGTCAAGCGCAGCTGGATGTGTATCCCAGTCCACTCGGTCAGGGACAGACGACCTGTGTTAGAGTTTGAGTTGGGATTTGTCCAAAATCACCTGTGATTTGCTGCCCAGGCACTCGCGTACCTCTCCAAAGTGCATTCGGTTCATGCCATATGATGTTCAGCACGATGTCCGATGTTTCGCTCTACATGCTAGGAGCTTCTTCAGGAACCCGAATTATTACCCGAATTTTTCCTGAAGAAGCTCCCAGGACGTGGAGCGAAACTTCGGACATCGTGCCAAACGACACGTGGTATGAACTTAAAACACATCGGAGAGCTATGCAGGGATAATTACGTGGAATCTGTTGATATGAGACACTCAATATTATTTGTATTCCCTGCAGGTGTGCTGTGGAATTTGAATTCCTGTATAAAATTACTGTACGTGCCCACAATTAGCATCTTGATCTTACGAATCAAACCTGAATAATAATGAAATATACAAACGTTCACAGGAAATGGATAAACTTTAGGTGTTTTTTTCTGGAAGGAAAGTTGTCCGAGAGTAAAATATCTCAACGGTCACTGAATGGCAAACGAGATCTGGGTATACTATTTTGGATTCATGAATTTGCCCATAGATTTTTTGTTCTCTACCGGGAAAATAATTTGAGGTGGAACGTGTCATTAGCCAGAGTGTCCGGAGTAACAACCGACATGTACATGGCGTGGACTTGGTGACGCACACGCGATGACACGCATGCACGCGGTGACGCACACGTGGTGACACGCACGCACGTGGTGACACGCACGCACGTGGTGACACGCACGCACGTGGTGACACGCACGCACGTGGTGACGTGCGCACACGCGGTGCCACCCTACTGATCGCGCGCTCTCTTGCTTGCGCAGGAGTCGGAGGTGATCGGCATGCTCGAGGGGCCGCTCCCCATGCCCATCCGTCAGCGCAGAGCGGCCCCCGAGCCCGTCCACGGCGGTGCGGGCAGGCCCAGCGAGGGCTTCGAGAGCGCCGTTCCCATCCTGCACGTGGAGAGCCGCCAGAGGTCCTTCTCTCCCGGCCAGTGGCGGAAGCTCGTGCTGTCCATCAGCAGCGCGGGCACCTCGCCCGACCTCTCCTGCTCGCACCAGGCACCCAGCTCGCTCCTCGTCTACCCGCGGTCTCCTACCCGCTCCCCGGCAGGATTCTCCGTCTCTCCGTCGCGCTCCGCGTTGGGATACTCGTCGTCCCTGTCACGCGCCGCCGCCGGTTACCCCGCGTCACCCACCAGGGGGGCGGCTGCAGGCTACCCGGCGGGACCGCCCCGCTCACCCGCGGGCTACGCCGTGGCGTCGTCGCCGTCGCGCACGCCGGCGCTGCGCTCGCTAGCGCCGCGCCGCACCGCCACGGCGTACTCGGTGTCGCCCCCCCAGTACTACAGCGTGTCGGGCTGGGAGGAGACGCGCAGCGGCGGCGGCACCTCGCCCAGCGGGGACATCAAGGCGCGGCTCAACGTGCCACCCAACTATGAGGACCTGGTCCACCTGGAGCCACCGTCACCACGGCTCCAGCGCTCTCCCCGCAGCGGGCCGTCCTCCTCGGTCTCCTACTCGGGGACGCAGCCCGAGCTGCGCGCCGGCATCAGGTTGGTGTTGTGTTCGTAGCCCCCCCCCCCGTGTCACACGCACAGACCCCCCCCCCCCCGTGTGTTGTCCCCGGTGGCTGTCCCTGATTGCAAGCAGCTTCGATCGCCTTGAGCAATTCCTCTGACAAACCACATTCCCTCGTATATAGAGACACAAAGACATCCATGTCTCATCCCACAGAGACACAGTGACACATCTGTGGTGCGAAAGAAGCTCAACATACATACATAGGAAGAAGCAGTTAAGTTTACCCCACTGATGCTGTGGTGGATAGATCATGGCTGCTGCTGATGATACATATTTTGTTATCCTGTTTGTTTTACATCAAGGCAATAGTCCGTATAACAATTTCTAAGTTCGTCTGTTCTTATGCCATAGAGTTTAACAAGCAGAGATAAGTCAACTTAACACATTCGCCACCAACATTATGATTCAAAATCGATTTTTGAGTAAGTCCATGTAATGATGTAGCCAAATATGTGTTATGAAGACCCGAAGTTAGGGGGTGGAGGGTCTTAATTACACGGATTCTGCAAGATCATCAATTACCTAAAATATTAGCGATGAATCATCGAGGTAGGCCACTACTGATAATCTAGGCTGCTACCGATAATGTATTTTTATTTAACCAGGTAATGCCCACTAAGCTATATAGCTCTTACTTCAGAAGTGACCTGGACACAAATGATTGCTCGACGAAGTGGCTTATTGTGTGGAAATTTATAGCAGGCAAATACTCTGAACGCATGTTGATTCTAAATGTGGAGGGGAAAACCGGAGGATCTGGAGAATAACCCACGCGAACACAGGGAGAGAGATAGAGACACGCAAACTCATAATATACAGGTGTCATGGTTGAGATCAAACCCACGATCCTCTGCATACCAGGCAAGGTAGTTAACATCTCACCACCGTGGCGCTGATAGGGGCAGCAGCAGCAGAACGTTGTCTCTTGGGCTCTGCAGGATGTCGACAGCCATGCCTCCCAGGGACATTCGGATGGGTCGGGAAGACATCCCGTCCGCGATCGCGGCTCTGGGCCCTTCGAGCGCGATGAGCCATGGTCCTCAGCCCTTCTCAGGGCCCGAGTACAGCGCCCCTCCCCCGTACCGCCCGCCACGGTTCCACCCGGCGGCCCTCGCACCTCGGTCGGAGCCGGGCAGTGCTGGCGCCGTTGCGGCAGCCGCTGGGAAGGGCAGGACAGAGCTGCGGGAATTCTCTGCCTCACCCAAGGGGGACGTCCTGCCCGGCACGTCTACCAGCGAGGGTTCGGCCGGCGTGGGGTCCTCCTCGGTGGGCGCTTCGCCGCACTCAATGCGGCGGCCCGAAGCACGGGCGGCCTCGTCCACGAGGACGGAGGACAGCACGCCCGAGGAGGAGGACGAGGGGCTGAAGGAGGGGGCGTCGGCGTTTCGGAGGAAAAGCAGGTACTGTCCTCGCAGCGACAGTGATGATGAGGGTGACGGTGAGGGTGGCGCCGCTCCCCCTGCGCGCCCATGCCGTCTGAGAGCGCTCTCCCTTCATGCGACGGGCAACTCGCGTCTCGCACCTCGGCACGTTTGACAGCTGTCTCTGCGTGCAGCGGTGGCGAGATGTTAACTACCTCGCCTGGTATGCAGGAGGTCGTGGGTTCGATCTTGACCCTGATGCTTATATTTTTGGAGTTTGCGTGTCTCTCTCCCTGTGGTTACATGGATTTTTCTCTGACTCCTCTGGTTTTTCCCCCCAGATTTAGTATCAACGTGTGTTTTAAGTACTTGGCTGTTATAAATTTCCATGTGAAAAGCTACTTCGTTGAGCTATCATTTGTGATAGCCAGGTCAGTAAAATAAAAAAAGTTTTAGGTAATAGTTTGTGCAATGTGAGCCGGCACCTGCAAGCGGGCATCAGTCTGCTAGTAGTGGTGGGAGAGGGGGGAGCTTCTTCTAATCTCATTGGCACGAAATATTTTCCGAATGGTGCAAATTTGGACCATGACTCCAGCGCGCAATTTGCCAGATTTATCTCGATTGACACCACGTGATCTTTAACATCCACTGCGAAGGAGATGGCGCGTAGTATTTTTTGGTTAATGCGCGTTCCAGTAATAACCAGGGCGGCCGGCTGGATTCGAACCGAGGACCACGAGCCTCCGCAGTGAGCGGCGAACTGGTGTTGAGGACACCGCCGCTGCTGTGGCGTAACGGTGAGCGCATAGGATTGTGACGTAGAGGTCACCGCTTCCATTCGATCTCCTGGTGCCGTGGGCGAAGCTTCATTAACCCCCTCCCCGCCCGCCTCCCTCCCCCATTCCCCCGCCGCCTCTGTCCACTCGGCGGCATAACCGGTTACACCACAGCCAGCCGATCGGCAGCAGGTCGCGTGTGGCGGCGTAAAATATGAGCACTCCCCACCAACCTCTTCCAAGACGTCAGGCCGGCGGAAAGAGTAGGCCAATAATCCTCCACAAGGGGCTCCATTGGGCTCCTAGGGGAGGGCCCCTCTGCGCCAGCAGTCGCGAGAGCGGGCGCTTGTGGAGCTGCGCCTCTGCCTCCAGCGGAGCGGCCGGAGCGAGCCGGCACTCCGTTGACCCCCTTCCCTCCCGTGTCGTCACCCAGGTCGGAGGACCCCGGCGACGCTGGGGACGCCCCCGGGCAGTTAAAACCAGCAGCGCCAGGGTGATCGCTTCTCATTGAAACATCTCCATGCAGTCACAACCATCATGTACCCTCTAACAGTATGACGTGAACCATAGCCACCACACTACCAGGGACAAAGCACTCACTCACCCTCTCGCTCACCTCCCCACCCCGCTCACTCACTACACTGCCGGCCCCAACACACTCGCTCACCCTCTCAACTCACCTAACCACCCCACTCACTCACCACACTGCCGGTGACAACAAGATCAAAACTAGGCATCTTCTGTGTTGGGTCTTGCTTCGTAACGCTATTTTATATTGACAACAATTATAATCATCTTGTAAATAACCTGCAGAAAGGGCGTTTATAATGTGAATCGCATTCAAAGCTGGGAGTTTGTCAGCATTCATACTCTTTGGTTCTATTGAGTAAAGTCACGTAGGTAAAAAATAAAATAACAAAAATATGGAACGCTTCACGAATTTGCGTGTTTTAAGCAATCCTGAATTGCTGATGAGACAACGAATGTTGAAACCGGTCTGGAGTTTGCTTGTGTTGAACCAATGGCGCTGACGAGACGCGCCAAGAATGAATCTGTGCGGCCCATGGGGTCGCGCGAGCGTGGAGTGACAAAGACGGGAAGGAGGCGTTTATTTTGTTCGTAATCTTCTGCACGGCGACGTTTGACGATAATGATGACGACGATGATAGTGGCTGCGTTGTTTGGTAACAGTTGAGTTGACCTTGGTTTGAGTGTGCTGTGTGTTGTTTTTCTGCGAGAGACTATTTTTATTTAGAATAGTTTTTTGCTGTTGTCCTGTACAGCGTTGTGAGATGTACTTTTGCATGAACGACGCTGTATACATTTTAATTTTTACTATTATTAACGGTTGGTTCATTTGTTGTTCCTTCGTGTTCACAGGGGCGGCACGCCAAGGAAATCCTCGTTAATTTAGGTGAGAAACATTTCCTTCAAAATTATTATTATAAACTTGAATTTTGGTTGAGAGCAGAAGTAATCACGATAATCTCTTTTTTAAACCCCATGAACGTTACATTTTAAACGGAACCGATAAAATGTTGAACACTGTACGCTACTCGGAAACCTGTTGAATGTTTACATGCTTTCAAAGTGTGGCTGTTTAACGCGAGCGCCACAGCATCTGTCCGGTCAGCAGCATTACAAATGGGCCATGGCGTGGTTTGTCCAATGTCCTTCACTAATTTTCAGAAGGGGGGCCACGTTCGCCGATAAGACATCATCAGTGTGAGGGCCGCCACACGTTTGAAACCATTGGGGGTTTGACACCACGATGATGGGGGGGGGGGGTGTTTTCACATGTTGTGTAATGGAGGGGGCTTCACTTCAGGAGCCACACTAAAGGCCACCAGGGACCGCCAGTGGACCACGGACCTTGCAATGAAAAACACTGGGTTAGTCGGCAGGTCGTGAGTGGTGGGTTAAAGTGTAGGTTACTGCCACTTCTTCCAAGACGTCTGGCCATGGAGGAAGAGTAGAACCAAAACGCCCTTCAGATCAGTACTTCCGAACCCTTCTGGACTAGCAAACCACGGATCTGGTGTTTGTGGAAATAAAATGTATTTTGTGGAGTGTGCCCCTCAGCATTGTGGGTCAACCAGTGGTCCGCGAACCACAGGCCAGGAACCGCTGCTCTAGGTTCAAGTTTTTTTTTTGTGTAACCACCTGAGATCTCAAGAGAGCAGGATGAATCTGGTTTGCTCGTGACTTGGGGCATTAGTCTGCCAGTAGGGAGGCGGGGCGGTGATGGCTGCCGCTGTGTGCGTGATCACGGTTAAGTCGTTTGCGGTGTAATTTTCGAATTTGTCAACATTGTACCCCGACACCGTCACACCTTGGCCTTCTCTTGCGAATTACGTCAGGGAAACGTTAACGTTCGCTGTGAAGCAGATGGCGCGGAATGTTATTCCCATTAATACTCCGGTTAATACATCGGCAGTATTAGACTAAACTAAAAAACGTTACTATTTTTTATTTTACCAGACAAGGCCCACTGAGCTATGTAATTATTTTTTCAGAAACGACCTGGCCACAAATGATAGCTGAACAAAGTGTCTTTTCGTGTGGAAATTTATAGCAGCGAAATACTCTTAAACATGTGATGTTGATTCTAAATGCGAAGGGGAAAACCGGAGGACCCGGAGAAAAATCCACGCGACCACGGGGAGAGAGATAGAGGACATGCAAACTCCGAATATACAGCAGGTGTCATGGTCGAACCCACTACATCCTGTATGCTAGGCGGGGTAGTTAACATCTCACCACCGTGGCACCCATGGTAGTGAGATGTTACGTATTAACAAGGTCAGCCGCTGGATTCGAAGTGTGAACCCCTGCAACAAGCGGCGAACGCGTCCACAGCCCAAGAGTTCCGTCTCGAGTACGTTCTGCCCGTGCTGCCATCCGCAAGCCATTTCGGGGGCTGTTGTCTTTACCCATACCTTCTTACCAGCAAAATAATATTTACTAAATATATTTTGCTGGTGAATAAAACCTGGTTAATGTCGATGTTGTCGGTTTGGGCTGGGACTGCCGATTTGTGATCTGTGTTGCGTTACGATTACGCACTTATGTAACGAATGAACAATAATACTAATAACAGTCATAATAATAAGAATGGCCTTGTGTTTATTTTTCCATAGATCAGCGGATCTCCTGACACGATCCATCACAATCACCTGAGCTGCAAATGCCTGAGAAATTACTACCTCAGTACCAAGCACACGCTGCTTAGAGAGCGAGAGAGAGTGAGAGAGAGTGAGACAGATACATCTGTCATGACGACTGAAGGGAAATCTCCAAAACACACTCATACACAGAGATACAGCAGTAGCAGCAGCAGAGAAACAGGTGTGTGTGTGGCTCGCAGTAAGAGCTGAGGAACATTGACAAACGCGACAAATGTTGGCCAACTTTTATAAGCCTTAATGAATAACAACATAGCTCTATGAACTTGAACAAAAAGGCACATGACGACTACACCCGTGACAAACAGCAGGTAATGCCGTGGCGACGGTTGAAGCTCGGCAACCATCCCACCGTCCTCGACGAAGGAAGAAACCCCCCCGCTCTCACCGGGGTTCCGGAAAGACGCTCGCTATGCACCGCCAATGTCGTTGTGCGCCTTGTCCCCCGGTGGGGGTGAGGGGTGGGGGGCGGCCCAGCTGGGCCCGGCTGGGCCCGGCTGGGCGTTGCGGTGCCCCCCCGCTCAGTTTCGTCGGCGCTCGGCCGACTACTCCGTGGCAGCCATCTTGTTCCCCGATCGCCCTCCACCTCGCGCACATTCGCTCGCTCGATTTCCACATGCTCCAAATTGACGTACGGTTGTCGTGCGTACAGTGAATTTTATAATATATTGTGCGTTATTATTTAAAACAAAAGTGCTAATTATTTGACATAACCTGAAATATTTTTTATTCAAAAAAAGCTTACAGTGCTAAGTTTGGCTAATTACTAGTTGATGAACATCTAATTTATTTCTACTGACACTTAATGGTGTTTTGATCATTTGTATGGTTTTATGCGGTGTGTTTTGCAAATACTCTACACCTAAACCCAATGTAGGTCACGTCTGTTTACAAGACATTCAGTCAAGAGAGTTGGGAGAAATTTACAGATGTCATAATTTTTTTTCAACTTCTCATCTTTCGCCACTTAAAAGAAAGTGACTTCCAGGCGTCGCGAACGATTGACGCGCTGCCGAAATAAGTAGGCTGAGAGGTCTTGATGAAATCGAGACATTAATGAAATATATAAATACAGCAGTATTCAAACGGTGCTCTTTATTTAATACAAGTTAGCCAAGTAGATATTGTAATTTTGTGTTTAAATTTACGAATATAAAATGCATATTTATTAACAAAAAATTACTTATTTGTACATAGTACAGGATCTATGTCAGCCGGGTGACGCCGCTTGCCCTGGTCGCTAACGCGGCACGCACTTAGTGTTGGCGGAATGGTACGGAACTATCGCGACCCATTGGTTACCACTCGCCGTGACACCACATTGCTAATGCTGACAGCTGGAGTATTAAAGACAGGAGGTTATTGCAACTGTGGCATTGCGCGCACATTCACACTCACAGGTGAGATGGCCTATGGTGCTGTAACTTTCACGTATAGAGTTTTGTAACTGACCTGGTGCTACCGCTGCATAAACGTTATGATACAACCCGCCCGGGAGGAAACATCTCTGGAATTCGTTCCGCACTGCGCGCGTGTGTTCGTGGAAAATACGGCGTGTCTTTTATTCCTTATGGAGAAGAAGAAAAAACCTGCCTGTTCACCAACATTGACGGACATTACGAACGCCAAATTATTTTGGGAAAAGCCGGCAGAATTCAAATGCGTGTAAAATCAAATACACAGGATAACCACGTTCTTGGACAATATTTTAAAAGACGCTCCAGAAAGTAACACGGAGGCTGCCCGAAACTTGAGTCCGGTGTCAATACAGTTACATAGATCTGGTGACAGACAAAGATCCCCCACGTAGCCTTTCACAGATTGTTGGGGCAAGTGCTGTTAGCGAGCACCTATGAAGGCAGACACGGCACACGTGGGGGTGGGTGACTAACGTCATGCCTTTGTTTTCACAGTGATGATGTTTACACATCGCCCCAGATACTCATTTGAGGCCGCGTAGACCTAGGGGAGGCCCAGGACCGATTTAAATATTCTCCACTGTTATTGGCCTTGAGTGGGAATTGAACTCGGGTTCATACCGCAATGCGGTCACCACTATTCTACAGATAACGAATTTGAATATGCGTCGTAAATTACAACAAAAATCGCAAAGCTGCGTACAATTATGAATTGTAACATTATGTTGCAAGTTTCAACAGATTTATCAGCACACCTGCGGTTCATGCCCTGCAAGTTATACCGAGGATATATCTGCTGACAATCACCTCCCTCACAATGACATGTCACAGTCGTCATACTGAATATGATCCACGCTCATTTGATTTGCGTATTGATGTTTATTTACGCATATATTGAACGTTCGCTTCTCTAAAAATACTCCTTTGTGAAAACGACGACAGAGTTGTGCCGAGGAGATGTTTCTTCACCGTGACCCTCTCGGTGCCAGACAGAGACCGACACTGACATTCGGAGGCCGTCAAAATGCAAATCGTCTTCACGCGGCACCTTCAGCAGCGGCACACGGCTCTCGGCGATCGTTTTTTGTTTATTTATTGTGAATACGATTTCGTAGCCTGTGTGTGAACGGCACCGTTAGGGTTTTGTGGTGTTGTTAGTGTGCGCGGGGTTGTAAAATGTATGTCCATGGCCTTTGATATATTGGTGCAAGTAACAAATATGAAGCAATATTTAATTTGCCAAAATTTTTGATTGTCATCTTTTTTTATCGTACAAAAAAAAGAAAAACCATCCCTAATCGCCTTTCTTTTCCAACCAAATTTACACAGAACCCGAAGACGAAAAGATCGCGCTGAAACGGCAACCAAAGACAGTTGACGCTGCGAGTTGCAGTGGCAATCGCGATAGAATAACCAACGGGGATGATGGGAAAAGGGTGGAGATTGCGGATCCCTGGATTGAGTGCATCCTTCGAGCACGCGGCTCGCGTGAGCGGGACATTGCAGGGCTGCGCCTTTTGCCGACCGTCGATCTGCACGCTGTTTTTGCAACCAGTGAATGGATATGAGAACTCTGAAGCGGCCAGATCAAAATGTTTTCCGATCTCCACCTTTCTCTTATTCATTGAACCAAAGGACTGTAAAGAGATATATAAAAGAAAGTTTATTTTTAGGCTCGTGTAAAAATGTGTAGCTGCTATCAAAAATGCTCAAATGATCACGTGTTAAAATTTTACATGTCATTGCGGTTTGGTTGGAAAAGGGCCAGATTCAATGTTTTTTTTAAATCTGCGCACTGTAAATGTTCGGTACAAGGCCTTCATTAATTGACGGTTCAAGGCTGTGTTATTTTATTGTCAGCTGCAGAGGTGAAGCCTCCTGCATTTTTCCTGCCGGTGCAAAAACCAAAATAGCTGCGCTAAATATTTTTGCAGGATGCTCATCGCGGAACGTTCTTACTCCCGCTATTTACTTCATCTGGCCGGTTGGCTCGGTGGCAGCGTGAGCGGCTCGCATCAGGGAAGGTTGTGAGTTCAATTCCTGATTAGGTGCTGACTGAGCCCATCATCTCTTTGGGGTCGATCAAATAAATGCCACTTTTGGTGAGATCGCATAAATATAAATGTGTCGTTAAACCCTCCACCACCCGACAGCCAATTTGTTAAGGTTTGTCACGTAAACAAAACATGCCAGTTCGTGACTCGTTCAACACACCGGTGTTTTGGAAAGTAAACCCACAACATTTACAATTTGAGTAACGTGATGTTTTGGCGATAATTTCAACCCGCCTCATCATGCGACAACCGCTTTGTGAGGAAGTCACCAGTGGCTGTCCTATGGAGAGACTCGCCCCCGCCATAGGAACGTGTAGTTTCCATCACTGTCTCAGGGTTGTAGCCTGCAGATGAGCACTGCCTCAGTGCTCACTGTCGAATCCCTTTGACTCGTTTCTGATGAATATTACTCAATTGGGCATACCAGGCCGCTGCGACGTCCATGGCTGTCATGACATTCTGAATTGTAAATTAACATTACCGAGAGTGACAACGGCGAGCCATGACAAGGGCACAAAGGAGACTTGCAGGATTACAAAACTAATTTTACAACCAACGGTAAAAAAAATGTAATAGAACATCTAAAGAATAAAAAAAATAGACAAATACAACTAAACTATTTTTTCTTTTACCAGGTAAGGCCCACTGAGCTATGTAGCTCTTTTTCCAAAAGCGACCTGGCCACAAATTATAGCCCAACGAAGTGGCTTGTCACGTGGAAATTTATAGCGGCAACCAATTACTGTCACTAATTTGACAGTTACTTTGGCAACACAAACAGCTATATAATCGTTGCTTTATTGCATTCAGACATTCAATCAGTCGCATAGGAGTTTTAAGTCACCAATTAAACTTAAATGGACCAATTCTTGGCTATATTTTGGCCGTCATTCTGCCACTCGTTGGCAAAATGATGGCTATTTGACAGCAAGATGTACTCACTCGTGGGACTGTGTCCGGAACTTGCGAGGATCTGTGAGCTCCTCACAATCCAGTCCAGTTCAACCCAGGATGGATCAGAGGCAGCCACTTGATTGTTTCAAACCGGCTCAAGATGTCCCTTTAGAGGGGTCCATGTTTCGCAAGCTTAGAGAAGGGGAGGCACACTGTGGCTGAGAAGCGATAGGTCAGGTAGCTTCCATACACCGTCACGCAGCCCAATTAAAATGTAACTTAATTCGACTAATTTGGAGTGAAACCTCCACTACAAAACTGGAGCTGGCCATGACCACAGTGCCCAGTTGTGAGAACTCCTACACATTCGTCAAGAAAACCGTGGCTCTCAATTGGAGAATATAAATGTATAACTAGGTGATATTTCGGGAAATGGCAATTAATTAATAAATACGTTCGAACAACATCATTTGTGTGCTTTTTACCACACGTTGCTTGGAGTCACTGGAGTTTAAAATAAATAGGGGTGCACTTTTCATATTCCATTCCGGAAAGTTTGGACCACCTGCCCTCATGTTATTGTTCATGTTGCGTTATTATTTGGAGGGAATACAATTTGTATCCTTTTCACGGTACATCGACTTTCGTGCTAAATTTTGAAAATAAAAATTGTTACTTTATTCCACAAACTCATGATCGTGGAATAAACACTCAATGATAGAGTTTGGCCAAACATCACCAACATAGGACCACAAAGCTTGGGTAATTGTTGCCACTGGCTGTGGCTGTCTTCCCGTTTCGCACGTTTCTGAATCTTTGCAAATTACATTATATAGCATTTATTATTTTTCAAGGAAACATCACAGTTTTTTTCATGATGGAAAGGGAACGCTTCAAGTTTTCCAGATTTTGTGGAGAGACGCATCGGCTCCAACACGTCTGTGTATCGTTTCCGGGTACATAGAGACGCAAGAGAGCGACGCGCACACGATGGTACATAACGGCGATGACAGTTTTATGCAGCGGCAGGGTTTCACATTCTTAACAGGAACCTTGTTGGGATGCTGAAATTAATAACGCTGATCTGAACGTGAATATTACAATCGTGAAATTAACACAGCCTTGGAACGCCGGTACAATGTAAAACGCTATAGATGTTGCTTATGATTCGCTGTATTTTCTATTTGGGAAATTAACCCTTTTTGCGACGTTGAACTCGTGTTATATTGCTTTGTGCAACACTACACGTGGTCACACAGAAAAAAAGAATCGTTAAGAAATATGAATCCCTGTATACAATCTTCAAGCTCTTGTTTTTATAGTTTGACCATAGACAATGCAGTTTAATTACGTACTTATATATGGATGTTCAATATTATCTTTGTATTGGTATAAAGATCTTGCACTATGATATTCACATGAAGCTGACAACTTTACCGCTTGACACATGCGGTCTGCATGAACCCTTTCACCTGCAACTGGGGCACAGAGGAGACGCGGTTGAACCGTGGCCGGCAAGTTTTGCGCCCCCTCTCCTGCGGTGGCTAAATACATGGCAGCTATTATCCAGTGGGCCACGACGGAAGTTAAAGGGCGCAAACCCTGCCCGGTCAGGCGTTTGAACAGCCGACCGAGCGGTTCAAGTGCGCGGTTACGTCCAAGGGGTTCACGGAATGTCATGAACCTGGCAAGAGTCGAGATATTTTTTTTACGTTAGATCACGTAAATATAAATGTGCCGTTAAACCCGCCAGAACCACTCGACGCAGCCAATTGCTTAAGGTTTGTCACGTAAACAGAACGTGCCATTTAGTTACTAGCTCAGCACACCAGTGTGTTGGAGAGTAAAGCCACAACATTTACATTTCGAGTACCGTGACGTTTTTCCGTTAATTACAATCAGCCTCATCAGGCGACAGCCAGTCTTAAATAGAGGAGGTAAACGTGATGTCGTCGCTTGTGAGCCAATCTGATGCTATTTATATTTACGCAATCTAACGGCAAAACAAAAACTTATTGTGGATAACATTGGTCGCAAAAGCCTATGACTTCTACGTGTTAAACTAACCTGGCTGAGGTGAAAGAGTTGGCAAAAAATGTAAGATTGCTGCAAGGAAATGTTGCGAAGTGTTCGTGGAGTTGACGGCAACGTGTGTAGCGATACGTCCGCCGCAATCATTGCGGCTCCGCGCGTCTCCCCATCGCGCCACGTTTATTATGCAGCAGACCGACATTGTTGCCCGTGTATGGCATCAATGTGATAGCCTCGTTGCCTCTTTAAGAAACACATAATAAATAAATAAAATATATTGCCTTTTTTGGTGCTCGTAAGTAGAACAAGGCAGCTTGAAGTTGTTCTTGCCTGTAAGCTGCCTGCAGAGAGGTGGACATTTTGCAGTTTCCATATTCTCCAGATTATAAGACGCTCTGGAGAGAAAAAGGCACCCCAAACTCGTGCCCAATGAAGTCACACAAATCTGGCCGTCCACACGCACGCACAAACACACGCGCACTCACCAGATTATCAGACGCACGCCTTTGCTTTGGTGTATATTGGAGGGAAAACTGCATCTTATAATCTGGAGAACACGGTGTTTTTGGGAAGGAATGCTAAATCTCTGATCGTACATCGAGTCACGAGAGCCAAGCTCAGTACTAAATCACGGGTTCTCGAGTCATAACAAGGTCTTGGGTGTGTGAGAAAGAGGACAGCCCAAGCGTGCATCTTTGTGCCGATGAACAACCTCTCCGCACATATTACGATCCACCTCACTGTGCTCTCAGGGGCTCGTGTACCCACCGTGTTTAAAGAGATGAACCGTTTTTAAAACATTTTTTTTAATTAAGAAAGCCTTCCCAAGCTTTCCCATGCCTACATGAATTTCCATTGTCTGCGGGGAAAATTACGTAAAGGAACGAACCAATAAAAAAGCTAACCGTGTGGGAAATCCCTTTTTAACAATATGCAGTTCTTTATACGATTGTTTATTAGAACACGTGCAGTGCTGTGTACAGTGGTTGAATTGTTACATTTTTACTCCCATATGGGAGAGCTTCCACTTGATCTTGTTGCCGGGAAGAGCAAAAGAATGCCGTCCAGGAGCAAAGTGTGTGGATGAAGAGAGGGGGCCGCGGGTTAAGAAGTAGGGCAGCAGAGTGGTGGTGCCGGACTTCCCGGACTCATTTGTTTGGTGTCACCCAATCACACGGCGGCGGCGCTGGTGCTGTGTGGCGAGGCCTGATGGCGGTGATGATGAATCCCCTCTCTCGAAGACAGCGATTCTTAACCTGGGGTGCACGCACACCCTGGGGGTACGACATGCCCTCTCTGGGGGTGCGCGACATGGCCAGAACTTTTTTAGAAGGTAAATAATTGAAAACACAAATTAAGCATGGCCACGTGAGTTACAACTCCTTTGTTTAATCAAACCCTATGTATTTATTAACATAAACAAAATTACGATTGAGAACCAAAGGAGTGCAGGCTGCAGTAAAGGTTAAAAACCACTGCTCTAAGAGAACCCTCCCATCGCTGGGATTCTTTAAAACTGTTTCAAGCGAACGGGGGGGGCGGGGGGCGGGACAGCCGTGACGTAATGATTCGTGCACCAAGACTCGCTACCCAGAGGTTGCTGGTTCGATCTCCTGACGCGGCGGTTGAAACAAGAACGGTGCAAGTTTATTTTATCACCCCCCACCGCCGCGTCTGTCCACCCAGCAGTACAAATGTGTACACCACATTGTGGTGGGGTAAAGTGTGCGGGCACTCCGACCTCTTGCAAGACATCTAGAGGGGCTCTCTATAGCGCCCTCTCGTGGAGAGCCACCAGCGGTGGTGTGAGCGTGTCACTGCAGGGCAGCGCCCGCATCTACCTTAACCGAGTACAGCTCACCGCGGCCCCATTGTTGACCCACAACGGATTTATCTTGGGCAATTCCAAACAATGGCACACGGGGGGTCCAAACGAGGACTATCTTCCTGCACTTTGACCCCTGGCGGTGGGAGGAGAGTGAGGGACCGTGTGTCGTGTGCGCGCGTGTGTGCGAGCGACCTTCACTTTGGTGAACACCAAATCACGGATGGCTTGATTGTCGAATGTTAAACAATGCATTTAATCGTTAATGTACAATTACTTGTGAGGGAGTAAAAAGTTCTACTCAGTTATGTACAGTCTATTGTGATTACAACCACACGCAATCACAATTTAGATTTGACGGCGTGCGTGTGTTTGCCGGATAAGTCCAGCTCTGGTGACTGTCTCCGCTCATTTGGTATATTTTTTAAGGTCCGTCGTTTTAATTTGCTTTACAAAAACAATGTAGCTCTATATTAATGTTGTTGTTATCTTACAAACACCGTTAAGAAGCTGACGGGGCAGAGTCGCCATGCTCTCTGGCAGTTTCACTGCTCTTGGGTGGGAGCTCATTGAAATGTTTTTCGAAAGCGCGCTTATGCAGACCGGTCTCATCCGTAACCCCACAGCCACCCGCAAGCACCGCAGGTCCGGTGACGAGAATGGGCGATTTGCAGCACTGATGCTTACTTTGGCGAGATGTTAACTACCTCGCCTGGTATGCAGGAGGTCGTGGGATCGATGCCGACCCTGAGTTTGCGTGTCTCTCTTGCCGTGGTCGCGTGGATTTTTCTCCAGATCCTCCAGTTTTTCCCTCCAAATTTAGAATCAACGTGCTTTTCGAGTATTCGGCTGTGATACATTTCCACGTCATAAGCCACTTCGTTTGAGCTTGCGTGTGTAATAGCCAGGTCGCTTCTGAAAAGAGCTATATAGCTCAATGGGCCTTACCTGATCAAATAAAAAATAGTTTAGTTAACTATTGAGGGCGATTTTGGCACGTAAAATAAAGATGTATTGAAAGGAGGTCTGGAATGCAACTGCAGGCACACCCGAGCAAACCGTAGATCGCATTTTGTACCCTTGCCAGGTTCACATTCAAGTGAAGGCAGCAGCAGTAGCAGCGGCGTGGTTTTCCCGCCTGGCTGGAACTTTACATCGCTGTTCACTCAGACGTACGCGAGAAGCAGACTGTGACGACGCGGGCATTTGGGGGCGTCATCGGTGCGGAACCGACCACCGCTTTGTTACGGGGTGTGCGAGGCCATTCTGTAACTGTTACGGTGTGAAGGCGAGCCACGACGAGTCGCTTTGCCATTACTTGGAGCACATGACGCTCGTTTTCCCATCACGACGGTTGGTGGCCCTGGCTGGACGCCATTTCACCTGCCGTTAGCATGGTTGACTAGGTACGGTGCGAAAGAAGTTCAGCGTGCAAGTTCAGCATACATTGCCATCACAACATTCGGATAACGGATTTGACCGGAGAGTAGGAGTGAAAGTTGTGGGGGCGGGGTTTGTTGAGTCAATCTCCTCCAATCAAGGCGCCGGGCACAGGGGAGTCCGCGCGTCTCTGAGCGGCCCCGCGAGCGGGGCTCGCCGTGCTCGGGGGGAGGCGGCAGCGGCACGCGGCCCCTGTGCGGGACTTACGCGTCGAGTGGCGAGCCCAGCGGCGCAGTGAGGAGCTGGCGCTTGCGTTTACCGTACGTTGAACTTCTTTCGCACGCCGCACGTAGCCAACCGTGCTAATCGGAAGTGTAAGGGGGGAGGGACAACCAACTAAACACGAATACGCAGTTCTAATGAAATTATTTTTCAATAAAAATGTAGAAGTTCATATCTCCAGTAGCTTCCCAATATCAGAAGAAGAAGAGCGTTTCGAAAGCACACGATTCGGCGACCGCCTTTGTTCCGTGACTATAGCCAAGAGCCGCTGCTTCTGCGAGGGTGACCGGAATCCGCGTGAGAGAAAACACGTGGTGCTGCTGCTCTATGTAACGTGACACGAGTTTTGATCGCCTTCATACGTTAGGGGCCGTCCATAAATGACGTCACGCGATTTGGGACGATTTTTTGCCCCCCCCCCTCGTCACACGGCGTCACAAAAAGTCAGACCTCCCCCCCCCTCAAATATGACGTCACAAAGCTCTGCCCCCCCCTCCCCAAGCCATATTTTCATATTGAAAATAAAGCATGCTTCAAATCGCTTTAAACTATTGTCATTGTAGTGCGTATTTAATGTGGCGCTGCACTCTGATGTTGTAGGAGTGTTGTTAAAACAATTAGTGTTGTTTTAACAATTATATATTGATTTAAATTTGCGCGTCACACATCGTCCCAAATGTCTGACCCCCCCCCCCCCCCAGGTGCGTGACGTCATTTATGGACGGCCCCTTATAAGTTAAAGATTTTTTTCAGGCGCCAATTTGACCGACACACATCACGAAGAGCGGAACTTCGCTGCATTGTGACGTCACGGTGAGCGTGCGAAGGGGGCCCGGGTCGTGGGGAGCTGGGCATGGGGCATGACCTCCTCTCCCCAGGCGGCTGCATTGGCAGGCGTAGCTGTGAAGAGTTGGGCTATGCTGCGGTGTGGTAGCCGTGTGGCGAATACCGTGGCGATCGCGCCTTTGGTGATATGAGCTTCTGTAATGGCGCGCAGTTAGAGGCCTACGCATTGACCGTTTTAAGATGTGGAGCCATTTCCAGATTGCGTACCGAAAAGCAACCTCTATAAATGTTGAGTTTATCAAGCTCTCGGATGTGAACCAGCATTGCGTCTCTCTCCCGATGTTGTCCGATGTTTCGCTCCGCGTGCTGGTGACTACTGCAGGAGCAGAAGCCCACAAAACCCAAAGCGTGAGTGCACCAACTTCCACGCTCGCATTTCCCGAGGCGCGATTCTGAAAGACGCACGAGGCCACAACACAGCATTGTGGTCAATCTCACGGCTCACCCGCGACGTGAGTGGCAGAAAGGCCGGTCTTCGAAACCCGAACCCCCAATGTGGTAAAACCCCTGCGGATTGTCAGGTACAGGAGGGCGGGTGGGGGTGACTGGTTACAGGCCTTACAGTCTTACAAACACAGGGAATCTTGACAGCAGCTCGTTATGAGCTAGCGGGGCTGCAGTCTGCGGCAACGTCACTAAACATCAACTTGGTGGCAGTCGACAACTGCCAGAGGGCATGGCGGGCCTTGACTTTCTTCTCAAGGGTAAACATTTACGAATTGGGGAGGCTTTGAATGAAACCGACTTCGTTACACTTCGCCCACCGTCGACTAAAGTACCTATGTGTACTACAGAGTGAATTAAAGTTCGTATTTTAAGTTGAAAATATATTTTATAACGAATGTATGTCTATGGTAAAAACAAGAAAATCTAGCTGCTGAATTTAAATTATGTAAATTACAAAGAGCTATTTAAGATCAACCAGAGATACATTTATATGCAGAGTATTATATAAAGTAAATTTCCATGTTGAACAAAAAAATATTTTGAAAAGCATCGAAGTTGAATATGATGTGAGGAGAGAGGCAAATGTATCGAATGAAACGGCTGCAATCACTTTTTTTGTACAGGCGTGAGGAGTGTGTCGCATGCGCTGTAATCTTAGTGATGCTCTACGCATAGAGCTGGGCTACGATTAGCACGGTTGGCTACGTACGGTGCAAAAGAAGCTCAACATACATACGAGGAATGACAGTGGGTACACAACTGGAAGTTGTAAGAAATGATTTATGATACCTGGTAAACAATAAATCATCATGTGAAGTCTGCATTACAACATGTGCATATGAGTCGGTGTGTGATCATATCTACACGTGAGTGTGCGTGTCTTCTGAAGATGTCTGACTTCACTCAGCGTGTGGGCAAGAGAATGACGTTTTGATTTGGTGTGGAGACGCGCACTGGGGAGCACACAGACGAGTGCTGCAAAGTGCCAAGATGCCAATGCTAAAGTGGATGCTGGGAATAGCTCGAAGGGAAAGGAGGAGGAGCAGTAACGACTTTAGAGCGTTAGCAGAGGTCACTCGTATTCTCGAGAAGGGAGGCAAGACTGAGATGATTCGGACACGTGTTGAGAAGACGTAATAGGTTCACACAGAAGACCCATAGACTTACACAGAAACCCATAGACTTATTGAGACCCATTGACTCACACAGAGACCACTAGACTCCCACAGAGGCCCATAGACTCACACAGACCCACACACTATCGCAACGACTCAGTTATTTGTTCTGCAAATGGCAGTTTTCACGTGCTTATGCGTTGTCAACGAACAGGGACGTCACACAGCCCATATTGTCGACGTCACTGCAGCAGCTGTAGGAATTGCATCGCCCCCAAATCACGCGGTTGCACTGTGCTGATAGCGCCTATAATCCAGTGCACAGTAGATGTGTAACATTGCCTAACAAGAAACATTTAATACCTCTGATAATCACTTTCAACAAAAAATGGCCATTTACAATGATTTAATAAAATAAATGAGTAGTTTATTTATTAATAAAATTCCAAGATTTCTAATTGATTGTGTGGTTGGAGTGGACTCCTTTTCGTACGGAACACAGGCGTGTCTCACTTAATGAGAATTCACGATAACGAGAGCAATTTGAATTTAGCCCAATTTGTTAGCAAAATGAGCAAATGTTCATTTAACGAGTGTTCACTTACCGAGCAGATTTCGTGGAACATCTCCTCGTTCATTAAGCGAGACAACACGCCTGTCTAAAAATGTCTCCGAATCGTCTCGTGACCTGATTCGGGAATCGATTCTTCTGGGATCGACTTTCCATCCCCAATTCATTGGCTTGCCTGGAGGGAAGGAGTAGAGGGGTTATCCATGCACATAAAGCGTCTGGAAGTGTGAATATCTTGACTAGCTAGCGAGATGTATGCATGTTGCACTCTTTTCGTACCGCGTATAGCCCACCGCGCTAATCGGAGGTGCAGGGGAAGGACAACAAACTAAACACAAAAGCAGTTCTAAAGAAGTGAGTTTTCAATCTACCTTTGCACATCCAGTGCCTTCCTCTTATCAAAAGGAAGAGCATTCCAGACGGCCGCAAAAGCACATCTGAAGACGCATGCGGCGGCGTCCGCCTTGTTCTCATGGCTAGCGAAGAGCCGCTGGGATAGTATTTTCAAGTGACGTCTGCAACACTGGTCGTGCCATAGAGAGATAACGTGTGGGGTTTGTGAGTGTCACGTTGGCACAGATCTGGGGGCAGAGGGAATATAAGGGGGTGTGACATAGGCCCGGGGCTGCTTAAGATAACACTTCCTACGAATGTGTATGTGTTATAG